CATCGTTTCCAGACAAACAAAACTAATTATATTTTAATTCAGCACAGTCTAGCAGCCTAAAGTCAAGATTTCAACGGTTGGAAAATACAAAGTTCAAGACAAGTGAGAAAGTTTGCACCTTGGAAACAGCCATGTTATCTGCAAAAATCTGTTTACTGATCACGTAATCACAGCGCAAAAAAACTCACCCATTCAGGATTCGTCAGAGCCTCTCTCATATAGTGTGCGACCGTCAAGGGCCCGCTAGTCTGTGCAAACCAACATCATACAATACCCACCGTACATACATGTATGTCATACGAGATCAAAAGAATTTGTATAACCTTGCTCCACTTCTTTTTAACATGTAGTAATGAAAGTAAGTAATGTTTGCATGTCTGCATTACCACCAGTTATACAATTGTGTTTGAGAAACACAACCAGCTTAGTCTTAAATATGTACCTTCCGGTAATGCACAGTGAGGCAAGGCAGTGTACACAAATCACATAAAATTTCGTTTCGTTTCCTGTTTGAAGTGAAACCTTACGAGACAATTACTGTAGACATGCAGGTTTTACTGATATGATATCCATCCACATGTGCAGAAAAACTGCAGTACAAGCTCGGCCATGGCCAAACACAGCTGGCCAAGCACCTGGGAAATACTGAAGGCGACTTTCTTTTCCACCGGGTCTCGGTTTAAAATATTTACTAGTGCTGCATGCTGTCGCACACAATGACTTGTTCAGACGCCAGCACACACTATGTGTTCTGATCCTTCCAGTTGGCATGCAAAATGCAAGTACAGTCGTCCCTCTCTAATCCGGCACTTTATAATCCAGCACCCTCGATAAACCAGCACAATTTTCAGTAGCCAAAATGTCCTCTTCATGCACATTGCAGCAGTAAATCAGATTTGTTAATCCAGCACCCTCCCTAATCCAGCAGATTTTCGTGGCACAAATGGTGCCGGATTATAGAGGGACCACTGTATAAATAATTAGGGGTGAGTCGGGTAGCATTTTCTTCGGGTATCAGGTCCGGGTAGTTTTCCACGGGTAGCACGGGTACCCGATCGGGTAATGTTTCCATGGTAAGACCACAATGCACACCGGCCCCTTCCCTTGCGCACTGGGTAGACATGCGTGAATTATTTGTACACGTGCACTGTACATGATGTCATCTGCGACCTCGGGTTTTCGGGTACTATTCGGTACCCGACTACCCGAGGTCCTCACGGGTAGCACGGGTACCCGACTACCCGTGCACACCACTATAAATAATGCACTTAATGGCTCACATGAAAGTCAGACAACCCGGCAATAATCGCTGGATGTGTGGTATAATAATATTGTACATTGTGCAGTAGAGTCGCGCACCCCAAAACATCGCTTCCAAGAGGTCAGGCGGACATTCTTATCTCTGAGGTCTGTGCAATGCGGCTGCGTTCTTTGTAGAACTGCTTACAGCACATTCTTAGTAACAGTTCATGCTGGATCACATGCACAATTTATTACATACATATGTATCGCAAAAGCCGCAAGAAAACCAACGTAGGTGTTCTTTAGTTTACAAATGTAGGCTGTGTCGTTCTTAGTATTTCAGGCTGGACATCCTTGGACTCCACGTTCTTCGGCGCGCAACTCTACTGTATGAAAGCATGACTTGAATAACGGCATGATGTGAAAACAGCATGAAAACGTAATCAGTGCATGCCTTTGCGCATTGGTTAATTATGCATAATCTGGCCATATGATATGAAAGCATGTCATTTTAATTTTATTCGTGACTTTGCAGGCACAGTGCAAAAATATTGCTGAATGAAGTAGGGCATCCATCATGCAATACGACTTTCGAAAGACTGCATAATGCCCACCGCAACATCTGTATGTTTTGAACACTTCCCAGCTGCCTGCATGACAATTAATTACGTAGTGCGGTCATACATTTCCATCAAAAGATTAGAAGAATTAGGGAACGACCTGTGGAAGACGATGGACTCACCTGAATCCGTCCTCGAAGGTACGAGAGCATGGCTCAGAAAGGATGAAAACCAGCAGTGAATCAAGTTAGTTCATAGTATTGGCTTGAGTCAATCCACACTCCGTCCATGACATTTGTAACTGTTTTGCACAGCTTCTGATGAAGACAAGGACTGGACATCGAACCAGAGAAGATGTTTCGTGCCCTTTTTCAAATTTGATAGGGAAATTCCCTGTTGCATTGAGCGCACGTGCAGCACATGTGCAGTGGACTGGAGTTGCATAATCTCGCAAGCTCGGAGAATGATTTGAAATCAAAGGAAGAAACGAGTTTTGTCAAGGCCAGGAAGGAGACAGCCAACAAGGAAGAATTCATTATGTACCGCGCAAGGAGTGCTTCTAGAGTAGTGAGTAGACTCTTCACAGCAGCAAGAGCTCAGCCAGTGAGTACTGCACGCTGCATTCGACCATGCAGCACGATTTCTGGTCCAGCGTTACCTGAGTCAGTTCAAGCTATTGCCAGTAATGGAGAAACTCAGCCCACGACTGGAACGGCCACTCTAGGGAAAATCGATGTTGAACAAGGCCAGCTGATGATGATATTCACGTGCGACGTGTGCAAGACTCGAACTGCGAAGATGATGTCGAAGCAAGCGTACCAGCATGGAGTAGTAATTGCACAGTGTCCATCGTGCAAAAATCGCCATCTTATTGCCGATAATCTGGGTTGGTTCGGAGAAGGAGCGCATACGATAGAGGACGTGCTCAAGAAGAAAGGACAAGAAGTGAAGCGATCCTGGGATGGTGAAGATTTCCAGCTAAGTCCAGAAGATGTGTCTCTTTATCAACAAACAACACAAGAATCTCGAGAATAGTGGATTTGATTCTAGGAGAGGCACATGCACCATGGTTAGGGACTTCAATTGAAAAATCAAATTCGCGAGTTTTGCATAAAACGCTAGTTTTTCTAAACCGGGAAGAATCGAGAAACAACCTGTGAAAATTTGAACCCAAAATTCCAAGGCAATCTAGAGTTATAGTCGATTGAAGATCGGAAAACGGGGGAGAAAGTAGTCACAGAAGTAAATGCAAGTATGTATGGGAGGCGTGTGGTTTCCGTCCAGCACTGCACGATCTGGTGCATACATGGCGATACAGGATGTGTGTATGCATGCAGTGTGCACGCATGCCGTGCGCGCCGACTTGCACAAGTCACACGTTTTCACCGTCACTGCTTCTACCAGTGTGCGCGCAGTTCACTCGATTTTTTCGTCTACCACCAGGAAATCGCCGTGGGCTGGTTTCTGTGATCATTTTCCTTCAACGGCGATAAAGCGCGAGCCTCAATGTTGTAGAATCCTCTTGGTTTAGGCTAATTCGAGGCCGCTGAACATGAAAATCGGGTGTTCCTCGCGAAGGCGAGTACGGATCTGGTCGAAATTAGTACTTCGAAGTGCACCCGCGCCAAGCGCGGAGGCATTATTTTTGGAAGCATGGCATGTGTGGCACCATTGGAAAGGTAATGACCTCAGCTACCTAAAAATAGCATCGACAAGGCCGAAAAGGCCGCGGGAGAAGATACTCGGGCCGCGAACTGCATCTCGAACTGCAGCCACGAGGCGCCCATTCACTTTGTACAGGCGAGCTGTGACTGCACTTTTCGCTTTTCAGTGACCGGAACTGAACTCCCTACCATGGTGTACTGGTGGCATCACGAAATACTAATTATTTATAATACTACACTCCACTGTATGCTGAACTGTCTCCGAAAAGCCTGACAGGGAATGAAACAGACTTGAAATCATAACACATAGACACTTTAGGATCATGTCCAGCGCCTATAGAAGCTGTCGGAACCGCGCAATGACCGACTTCAAAGCATCATTTTTGCTACCAACCATTCTAACCGAAGAAAGTAGCAGAGCAATAATTTTAGCGTAATACTAATAGAATCACTGAAGAATGTGCATGCAGCATTCCGTGTTTGTTCTCACATCAGACTTGATTTAATCTGTTCTTTTATTTACTCTTCAATGGAAACAGCTGTGTTGAATTGAGGGGGGGGGGGGGGGGGGGCATTAGCCAGCCATGGTGGCAAAAGAGGGAAAGTAGACGGAATTTTGAAAATACTGCATTCCCTGGGTCAGTGCTGCACTTATTTTGCACTACACTGGAGATAATTTTAGTTTATACTGCACCAGTACCGGTCCGGCCAGCCAGATATTCACTTTCATGTATAAACTGCAGCCCAACTGTGACATTTTGTCTCTAAGAGAGTGGGCTGGGGGTGTGCAACCTATCCCAATATGTAGCAGGCGAACTAACTTCAATGGAAAGATTGGCGTCAACATAGCACAGTTGAATATGAAATATCCAAACATCTATTGTTCAAAATCGGTGTTGTTAGTGCACAAGACACACATGACACTGTGGCACTGCTCATTCTCATGTTCCCATCCATGTAGCGTACAACATTGTGTGTTATCCAATATCCACACACAGTAGGGAGAGAGGGAATTATAGTTACAACTCCTGAGTCAGCTAACTTCAAGTTAAATTAACTGTATGTTATGTACACAATAGCGAGAGTTCCCAGATTACCAAGAGTGCTCAACACCACAAGGATGGAGCATTACCACAAAGGCAGAAGAGAACAGAGACAGCCGGCTAGGTCATTGTTGTAACGCTGCAATCCTCAGACAACTGATCTCTGTTCTCTTCTGCCTTTGTATGTTACGTACATTTAAATGCCCTATCATCATATGAATCATGAATGTACCCGTATTGACATGTAACACTAATTGGTATTCAACAGTCGTGATCTTCATGTGTTGCGTTATCATGTTGGGACATCAATACAATGTATGTTCAATATTGAGCCCCAGAAGAGTGCGTAGGAGAAAGGTGTCGTCCTTGCTCAGCGCCTTGTCTTGTAAAGTAGTTCGCAACACCATTGAAGAGGTGATGAAGGCCATTATTTCGGTGATGGTTGATGTCCTCCAGCTTAACCCACAAGTCCTTTCACTTTCCCACCAAACATCACAAAACACTGACAGCCCAGTGCTGAACATTTCGCTTCTTTGTAAAGCAGCTCAATATCGATCCTTGGCGCGTTTGATGAGCTATTAAATTGAAAAATATGGAAAATACTGGAAAATTCTGATATTGTGAATAACATCACAAGGGAAACTAGTGGTAATAAGCATGCACTAAAGTTAATGTGGTTGATACAAAGATCGTTTTCACTGCTGCAGTAGTGACTGTTGCATCTGCACATACCTATGTATTTGCTGCTTCAATTTTTAACATCTCAAATATCTCAAATTAATGGAATTAAATCTGAAATCAAAGTCGTTCAGTAGAGTCAGCTATAAAGTTGGCAAGACTTTCCCTGGATTCATCAGGTTGTCAGGATCAAACGCTCTCTTCAGATTCCACATGGCTTCTAGGGTGGCATGGCTGAACTCTTCGCGGAGAAGATCAATCTTGCCCATTCCCACACCATGTTCGCCCGTGCATGTGCCTCCTTTAGCCAGGGCACGCCTAGTATGAAAACACACACACACACATGCGCGCACACACACACACACACATGCACACAAACGCATGCGCACGCACACAAACCGGGATTACGAGTCAGCCACAATTGGGGGGGGGGGGGGTACGTGCATGCAAGTCTTGTATGAGCAAGAGTAAACTACCACATGGCATGTGTAAAGCAGAGTTGGCAGTATACAGGTACATTGTTGCTCAATGAAATCCAGTCGCGTCTCTCAAGTACGCACCGGGCGTTGCGCAGCCCTAGACCTGCAAACACTGGGCGGCGAAATGGTGCAAGACGCAAACTTGAGTGACGCGACTGGATTTCATTGAGCAGCACTGTCCGTTGAAAACCATGCTTACCTGGCCAAATTCTCGGCATAGAGCTTCGCTTCCTTGACTTCTGCTGTGGAATTTTGATCAATAACGAAAGTAACATGGAAGTTTCCGTCACCAACGTGTCCGATGACAATATCTGTAACAGTCAGAAGTCAGTTTGCAGCATGGTTGTGCATGTACACACCACACACACATGTGCACACGTAAACACACATGTGCACATGTAAACACACATGTGCACAGGCAGGCCAACACATGACTACATGTTCTGTATCCCATAGAGAGAGAGAGAGAGAGAGAGAGAGAGAGAGAGAGAGAGAGAGAGAGAGAGAGAGAGAGAGAGAGAGAGAGAGAGAGAGAGAGAGAGAGAGAGAGAGAGAGAGAGAGAGAGAGAGAGAGAGAGAGAGAGAGAGAGAGAGAGAGAGAGAGAGAGAGAGAGAGAGAGAGAGAGAGAGAGAGAGAGAGAGAGAGAGAGAGAGAGAGAGAGAGAGAGAGAGAGAGAGGAGAGGAGAGGAGAGGAGAGGGAGGGAGGGAGGGAGAGAGAGAGAGCTTGTTGCGCCAACTTACATGGAAACGAGGCATGTTTGATCTCCTCTTGTGTTGTGACCAGGACCTCGGTCAGATGTGAAACCGGCACACATACATCTGTGATCACACCCTGATCAAGAACACACAGAGAAAGTAGAACAGTTACTTCAAACACACAGTATGCTGAAAAAAGTATACGGCTATATGGATCATCGCTGGCTACAAGCGAGGGTCCCTGGTTCGAGTCCTGGTGGCGACAGTCAATTTTTTCTTCAGACGTTTCCCGTTTGTGTCTTTCCCTCAAACCAGTGACTACTTATATGGATCAACGTGTGCTCCACTGCTTTTAAAAAAAACCATGGTCGAAAGACTCAATTCTGCGTGCGTTGCGCATTATTACAGCTGTCGCAGCGCCATAGCAAGGCCGATCATAGATATCCGTCAGGCCAAGTATCAAGGCGGTACGTGTATCTGCTAAAGTAAAGGAGCAGGAGGGGGCACATGTTGGTGTTACCTTGACGTTAGCTCCCGGCCGCAGTGCTAATCCAGCGTAGAATGCATTGTGACGCGCCGTCCATAGTTTGTCCCTAGCCGCAGCGTCCGATGCCCACTGATAATCGCCACCGCCGTTTTCCCGCGCAATCTCCCCTGCACAGTCAGTAACACACACAGAGCGCATGATGCAGTGGTAGGGCAACACGGTAATCAGACAGTTGTATTGCCCATTGGCTAGTTTCTACTTGATCCTAGCTGTGCTGCCAGCTACTGTGAGTCACAATCAGTAAATATTTGGCGCATATTTATTTTCGGCTATTTTTGGCCTGGGAATTGTTGGCCTAAAATTTGTTGCGGCCGAAATTTTGTTTTGCAAGGTTCAGTGTGACTGTGAATACAGGCAGCAGCGGTAAAGGCTGAAATTTGAACGTGGCCGAAATGGGTTTTAGCCCTGGGAGGCCAAAATTTACGCCAAAAAAATTGTCGACGTACAGTAGTGGACGAACGCGGGAGGTGACACCAACAACCATACAGCATAACACTGCATGTGATACCAAGAGAACGGAGCCCCAAGAGTACACAACTGCCTGCGAAACGTCGATCCAGTGCTGTGACGATAGAACTTCACATCACGTGACAATGTATTGGTACAGGCTTGTCACGTGATGTGAAGTTCTGCCACCACAGATCCCATAGACTTGAGTTGTTCCACACTCTTGTTTTTTTTTGTACTCTGGATGATTCATGTGCATGCTGAGGCCAGATGCAATGAACACATCACGTGACATGGGTGTCTGTCTATCACGTCACCAGTCGTACACTTACCAGCTACCTCGCTTTGCTCCTCCACCGAAGTCTGGGATCCTTGAAACTCCAGGAATAGCGTCGGTGCAATTGAGTAATTGAGGCCAGAGTAGGAGTTGACCGACTTCAGTGCATTCTCATCCAAGTATTCTGGGCAACACAAAAAGCACAAAGTGAACGTGAATAGAAATTACTTTCATCCTCAAACACAAAAACCATTTCTCCTACAATCAAGTATCGCTGATCCGCCCACTCTCTGGTAGTTAAAATCCAGGAACTGAACAAAACAGTGTCAGTGAAGTTCAACCCAGAAAGCACTGAGCTACGACATGAATAGTTTTGTTTTCTGTGCAAGGGCATACACTGCCACTAGCACTGCGCGTTCAGCACGCTATCAATATGCCCAGGAGGGGGGGGGGGGGACTGGTTTTCCACCTTTCTTCCATGTGGCCGAACAGTCATTTCTGCTTACCTAGACGCGCGATGGGAATCCCTGCCTGTATTACCTGAACACACGTCTCCACAGCGGATCGTACGGATGGAAAGCTGACTACAGCAGCGCTGACCTGGCAGTGGAGCAAAGCACATTGTGGCAAGTACAGTACAGTACACCAATGCTTACTAGGTAGCTGCTACATTATGTACATGTACTAGTAATTGCTCAACACACACACACACACACACGTGCATGCCGTAAGCTGCTGATAGCGACAATGACGACGATAATAATGGTGAAGACGTAAGACAACGACAAGAAACAAGCAAACAAACAAACAACAACAACAACAACAACAACAAAAGTAGCAAACTCACAGCCTCCGGGATGCCGTAAAGGCGAATGCGTGCGGATGTGATGATGCCGAGAGTTCCTTCGGAACCAACAAAGCAGTTCGTCAAGTTATAACCCGCAGAGGACTTTCTGAAACAAGCCACAAGAAGGACAGCGAAGATTAGAGACTTGCCATCGGCAGAACTGACAGCTGATGCTGCAAACCCACGGATGGGACCGCAGCATTGGCCCAGCTCTGGGGACCGCAGCATTGGCCCAGCTCTGGGGACCGCAGCATTGGCCCAGCTCTGGGGACCACAGCATTGGCCCAGCTCTGGGGACCGCAGCATTGGCCCAGCTCTGGGGGCGACACATGGCCTAATAAAGTAATAATGATATTTTTGGGACAGAGTCATGTGCCTACCCCAGAACCGACCCCATGCATACTACTGACCGCATACATACAAATACAAGGGTGATCATTAAAATGTATACTACACGAAACATTGGTGTGAAGCCAGGGAGTACTCGAGGGGGTAACAATCGATGCAGACATAGCCAAACAATATAATAAATTTTTTTCTAGATTTTGGGATACACGTATAGTGATAATAAAACTCTTTTAAGTTTAAACTCAATAACGCCGTTATGTCGTTTGACCATGGCTGTATCGATTGTACTCTTTAGTTAGTGCTATCACTACTAGTATTAAAACGAACAAACATGATCAATCTCTCCTTACCTTGCTCGTCTACCTTTGCCAGCAGTGTGAATGACCTGACCATTGGACAGGACTACTTCAAGATTCAGAACGTTCTCCCGCATGGTGCCGTATCTAGGCAAATGAAAATAAAGGTCAAAGGAAAACACGCTACACGTACCTATGCATTGTAATGCCGCTGTTGCTCCTGCCTATCGCTAACACACTGTTGCATTGGTGTTGTATGATAGATCTCCTACGCCTAGTCATGTTCCTGATGATGTTGCTCTGCATATCTATGCATATCTGTGCTTATCTGGCACACATCAGTACAAGTATTGTTTCTAAAGATGGCATCCGACAAAAGACATTTTTACTGCTACAAATCTACTACCGGGCTGCCCAATAAAATCCGATCGTGTGCGTCAAATTTGCACCCTGCAACCGTGCAAAGGCCCAGTGTCCACAGGTATAGGGCTGCACAATGCACGGCGTTGCATTGACTCGTATAGCCGGATTTCATTGAGCAACACTGTACATGTATAATGCAGTGCAGGTACTCCAAAGTACTTTCTACGCCACATTGCCATGTCGTATCGGAGACCCTACCTGACAGCATTAGTCCCGGACGCACTCGTCGCGGCCATTCCACACAGCGAAGCATCGGCACCAGGATCTGTCACATACGAAAACACAAGAACAAAGCAATATTCGCAGAGTTTCTCTCTCTCCCTCGCGCTGTCTCTCTCTCTCTCTTTCTCTCTCTCTCCCTCTCTTTTTCTCTCCCTTTCTCTCTTTTAATGTTAACAGCTATTAATCACATGACCACATCTGAAGCACAATATTTTAAAGAACACTGTGTCACCAACAAAGCGTGTGCAGAGGAACTGTTTCTATGGCCAGGGGTTGAAGCTGAACACAAGCACTACGCATTGCAGCGCATATGTGAGTACAGGCAGCAGAGACAAAAAACAGTCTGCAGCACAGCATGCTAAGCAACATCACAAAGCATAGCACCAGCCCCATGCATGCCAGTACAGTACACTGTATGAGCGCTATACTGTATGTAATGAGTGGTCAGTGATCCTATCTGGCGCTGCCATGTATGTGCCGTGAGATTATGGCCTTGGCTCCTTTCTCTGGAGGCCCCAATGTGTCTTCACACCGAAAGGAAAGAACACACGCTCACTTCCATTACATTACTATCTTGACAAAACTCTAGAGCAAGTGCACAATCATGCTCTAGTGTGTAAAGTTCCGAGAAAGGAGCTAAGGTCATAATATTACGACACGCGAACATAGTAGGACTAAGGTGCTGTGTTCTGCCCACTGACGCAAGAAGATTCAATAACATACCCACGGGGAAGTGAAGGCCAGTAGCGCGGAGATGCTCATTGAGCTGCTTTCGAGTAACTCCTGGCTCCACACACGCATCGAAATCTTCAGCGTTCACCTCAAGAACCCGGTCCATTTTTGTTACATTGATATGCACACCTCCCTGAAGAACATTGACACATCACAATGAGAACGGAAAAAAGGAATCGGAGAGTATCTGATATACCAGGGAGTCGTAAATTACCAGTATTTTACGACTCCCTGTGATATACAAAACAGTATGGAATACTATGCATGCATTCGCGCTCAATTTCCTGCAGCTCCAGGGAGAAACCAAGCGGGATTTGCAGACGATAATTCAGTTGCTGAGACGAACAAACTTGGATATGATAGCTTAGTTACATAATAGTACCTGTCCTATCCTGTATCATGTTATCCTTTCACCCATTCACGGCATAGTCCTTCCCCTGCCTGTCGCCATGTATAGACGGTACGTGACCTCTCACTACCCCCGTGCTACGCACGATACCATGCTCTGCTGGGCATGGCCTCCCTGACTCTTCACTATATCTACACTCATCTGTCTGTAAAATAAACTACTTCCTTATGTCAGTACATGACACAACATGGTGTCAGAAGTGGGATTCGAACCCACGCCTACAAAAAATACCTATGTTGGACACTTTGGGTAAATTTACCCAAATGTTTAATCTGCACTGTGCAGTGCAGTGTTGCACGTCACAAGGGTGCTGTCATGGCAACAGCCAACCGCGAGCTAGCGCATGTGGACTGTAATTTGCGATATTGCCGGCACCGGTCAGTGTTTGCGTTGGTGCCTGAGTGAATGTTTAGCACGGGAGCTGCTGGATCCAGTTCTACAAACAACGAAACACTTCATGATGATCAGAGGAGATGGGAAACATGGAGCCACCATCTTAACCTCCGTCCTTTCCAAACTTTCGCTCGCCTTTACACCTTGCTGGTCACAACTGTAAGTGCAATAGGAATAGCCCGTCGCCTGGGCCACCTCCACTGGACGTGCACCACCTGCACTGGACATGCACCACCTGCACAATCTGCCTGCGAGCACGTACACGGGCGATGCCGGCTCTGACGCTAGTACATGCCTGTGTGCACGGAACTTGTACTTGAGCACCGGATGCCTGTGTATGCACTTGCAGCCATGGTTACTGTACAGCCATGGTTACTGTATCATAGACCCCGGGGAGGGTCATAACGTGTACTAGAGTGTGCCTCAAGCCTCTGAAGCACTATACAAAAGTAGGACAAAATGGAACATATTCTTGGGTGTGGTGGGTTGTACTGACCTGCGGTGCACAAACGCCGCCTTCCAACCCCGTACCGGTCCCAAACGGAATCATTGGCAAGCCATGGCGGCTGCAGCACTTTGCCACTTCGCTGACTTGCTGAGTGGTGCGTGGAAACACCACCGCCTGGGCTGGCGCCGCTCGATGCCAAGACTCGTCGTGGTCGTGCTGGGCCAGAATGCTGGCAGATGTTGACACGCCATCACTGCCGACTGCAGCGGTCAGTTCTGCCAAGGCTCCTGCGGGCAGTTCGCGCTCAGTGCCCGAGCCTGTACATGTAGTGTCATGGAGAAACAAACAAATACTTACTTTTAGAGTCACAGACGACCACTACAGTACGGGTTTTAAAATGGACATGTCATGGAGTCACGGACACGGTCTGACAGCTACCGCTTTTCTTGACATTTCTATGCCAAAATCTGGCCAGATCCCGGCCGAATTGTCGAATTTTGCTCTCCAAAGTGTGTGATTTCCAGCCAAGCCGTGGTGCACTGAAGTGTCATTTTAAAAGGCTACCGAGACCTCAGGTTGGCGGTAATAGTCCAGTTTCGCTACCACAGCTGCAACTGCAGCCACCTTTATCATGCAGTATTCTGTTCTGGAGCTTTGTAGTTTCTCGTTAAAAGGAAAACCAACGACAACAACAACAACAACAACAACCCTTGAAAACTTTGAAAAGTGGACCACCTGCACTGTAGCTGCACACTGGGATCCCAAAGCTCCTGAAATGAACATTGTTCATTTCATACTCGGAACCCCCCCCCCCCCACCCGAAATGAACGCATCTTGCTATGCTGGACGAGCCAAATCGCATGCATGTATAGTGTCAGTTGATTTGTGATTTTGCCCCCCCCCCCCCCCCACACACACAATGAACGATGTTCGGTTTAGGAAAGACATAACGGTTTTGCGACGACGCCCTAGTGGACAGACTTGTGGTATAGCCCAGGCCATACATAATTGTTCCTGACTGCCTCTGCAATGCAGCGGTTGTACTAGTATGCAAGATGCATGTAAATCTAACACAAACTCTGGGCATATGCACCTCTAACGGGGATATGATGTTTAATTGTTATGGATCACTGGTGGAGAAAGTTGGATGGGGAAACTCAGCCGACATTTTGCCTAGTCTGTTTCTCAGGCTCCACTGCCCTACGCCAAGTAAAAGTATAATGTACACCCAAAAACAATACTGCTTGGTGTTCAAGACATGAGTCGACAAAAATTCACATTGGTCACTTACTGAACAAACGGCAATATCTGTGCAATGACGTTGCAGGTGCTCGACCTAGGCACTGCAGACAAACAAAACAACAGCACAAAAAAACTTGCGCCAGAGAAAACCAATGTGCAGTAATGTAGCAAAGCGAGACTTGGTGTCAGCCGCGGCCGCTCGGGGAGTTCTACTTCGCGCACAGTTCGCCGAACACCTAGCATGATGAAAAACTAACATTCCTGTCCAGTTGATGTTTCTTCCAATTGCGTGTATAAGTCAACTGTGACTGATCGCTTGGTGACGGGCTAGACTGGAGTGTAGAGGGAGGACACCTAGTATTATCAAGAGTCAATAATCCCCCAGAGTGCGCAACTTCACAGTATCAGATCTGGGACGGCGAAATCCGTGTTGCACGTCATAGTATGACATCATGAGTAGGGGAAGTGCGGAATGATGCAAGTCTGACCCAAAAATTACGTACATCACGGATTACGCCGTCCCACAGCCCCATCCCAGTTGCGCACTCTGGGGGATTATGAACTCTTGGTATTATGGTAAACTGAAGAAAAAAAGGATAATCTGAACTGAGTAGATCTACAGAATACATGTACTAGTAAACATTTTCGATAATGGTGCATGGTATGCATATTCATGATAGAGACAGTTACGTTTTTTTAAATCAAATCTTAAATCAGTCAATGCAGAGGTCTGGTAGATCTACACTGACGAACCTTGAGGGCAAGCATCATGCCAGTCAGCCAACGAAATCAGGCAGTCAGCCCTGACCTTGATCTCAGCAGACTGCGTCACTCACACATGAACGCCGGAGCTAGACGATGAGTTCTTGCATCCATTCACCACAACATACTCTGAGTCTATCGGAGATAGTGGGTCTGTGTGAGATGCAGAGTTAGAGAAGAAAGACCGTGACTATCACTCTGCCTCACAACAGCAGCAGCTATGTGCACAAGATCACCACTCTTTGCTACCTTGTACCTGCGGATCTGACTCTGAGCACGAGCTCGGACTCGGAGGTACATTATCACGATTTATGTCACTACTGACAGTACTGGTCGCCGTCAGGGAGTAGTAGGATATCGAGTATTTTTCCTGAATGTGATTTACTAGTAGTAGTACGCAGTCTGCTTCCGGACCTTGGTCCTTGGTCTTGACATGATAAAGATGCAAATAACTACTCATCAGTGCAGTCGGCACACATCCGACTTCTCCAGTATCACTAGTCACTATCAGCTAGCTAGCTACGGACATCAGACATCAGTGTTAGTTCGATACACTGGCTTTTCTGGACCTCTTATCGCGTGCCGGACAGCATACGGGAGTTTGGCTTTTGTGAGATTCTTGAGTCTTGTGAGGTCATGTGAGTGAGGGACTTGTTTATTGTTTGTTGCGATCTCGAACTCGTCAGTCACTGAACTGATTTTATTGAAACGAAGATACCTACATGACTGTACTTTATTATGTACCGGTGCTACCAAGAGTCATAAGGTTTATGTACTCTTGGTACTACCGACATACAGGTTCACAACATTTTGTGTGTCTGTCTGTCAAGTACTCTACATTATTGCTTGTACACAGTCATGTACATGTACATGACTGACAACACGATCATGCTGAACGACGTGAGAAACAGTCTGTTCCAAAGGATCTCGGGACACCGTCACACCTACCTGAAATATGGCTACACACTTCAAGTCAAAACCAGCATCGCCGAAGTCGCAACAACCTCTTCTTCACACTTCAAGACAAGTCAAGTTATTTACTAGTCATTTACTTACCGTATGGGCATGTACATGTACATGACTGTAGTTCAAGATGTCAAGAGAGTTGCTGCTGTCAAATATTGTGGCCTGAATCAGCGAGGGAAGTCAGAGTGCATATTATTAACACTCTGAAACTGTCTTGGAATTATAATTATTAATGATGGGGCTTGAGAATGGTTGCTCGAGCTCTTATCGCGGCTTCCATGGTAGACGGCGGAGAGCTGGCGAAGCAGCCAATGTTCGAGCTCGCTTCCACCGCAATATTATGAACATCACCGTCAACAAGAGCTGATCTCGAACTAGCGTTACGTCCACCGCTGTTATACCCCAGCTCGCCTCCTGAGCGGAGAAGATGACCGTGACACACAGACAGACAGACACTAAGTCGTCTAGTTGTGAGAAGGCACCACTGCCTGTTTGGTTGAACAACTATAAATAAAAGCACAACATCAACAACAGCACACGAGAAATACAAATAAAGTGTGCTGGACCCTGGCTTAGCCAGCAGTCCTACAGCATCCGCCTTTCTCAAAAGCTCGGGAATAATGTACCGGTAGATACTGAAAGAATTATTGTAGTAGATGTAACAGTAGTTATAATGTAGTGCCGGACAGTATAATGTCAGTACACCGGTGCCAACAGCTCTCATGCATGCTACGAAGAACACTACTTGCAACATTCTGCAAGATGATCTAAAACTCAAAGAGCATGGAGAGCCCAAACGGCAAAAAAAAACGTGTGATCGACTGTCTCCGGGAGCAAACAATACAACAATACAGTCATACACCCACTTACACAGACACAGAGGTATGGGGAGAAATTTGGTGATATAACATCACCAGCACAGTGTCCTTGCAGACATAAAAAAAGGCATAGTCCAAATTTATGCACTGGATGAGTGTCATCAAACCTCACGCTTCGTAGTCTCCGGGAGAATATTCCCGGACGAAGAATCAACCGTCGGAAAGAAGTCCTTCTGCTTCTCCTGTCTTTCCTTGATCATGGGATACGCAGCATACATGAACAAGAAGATGCTGAGACCTTGGAAGCCAACGCGTGCCCTCATTGCCATTTGCTGCTTAAAGCTATCCTTAGCAATAAACTGGCACAGTCCATAACCAATAGCACCAAATGTACATGCCATAGCTGCAGAAATGTGAAAAGAGAGAGAACAGGACGAGAACATTGTCAGGTTGGCCAGGGCTTTTCCCGAACTTATTCAACTAAAATTCCACACGAGTTGACCAGAATATAAGGGGGACTGTGGTGGTGGAGATAGATAGAGAGAGAGAGACAGAGAGAGACAGAGAGAGAGAGAGAGAGAGAGAGAGAGAGAGAGAGAGAGAGAGAGAGAGAGAGAGAGAGAGAGAGAGAGAGAGAGAGAGAGAGAGAGAGAGAGAGAGAGACAGAGAGAGAGACAGAGAGAGAGAGAGACAGAGAGAGAGACAGACAGACACAGAGAGAGAGAGAGAGAGAGAGAGAGAGAGAGAGAGAGAGAGAGAGAGAGAGAGAGAGAGAGAGAGAGAGAGAGAGAGAGAGAGAGAGAGAGAGAGAGAGAGAGAGAGAGAGAGAGAGAGAGAGAGACACACACACACACAGAGAGAGAGAGAGAGACACAGAGAGACACAGAGAGAGAGAGAGAGAGAGAGAGAGAGAGAGAGAGAGAGAGAGAGAGAGAGAGAGAGAGAGAGAGAGAGAGAGAGAGAGAGAGAGAGAGACACACACACACACACACACACAGACAGAGAAAGAGAGAGAGAGAGACAGATCACATGGCATGGTTCAGTACGCTGCAAGGAAACAACACAAATTGACCACCACCACAAGGGAATTACACCCAAGTTGTACCCAACCAAGACAAGTACAGGTCAGCTCTCTAGTTCCTGCCATAGTGTGCGGGTGGGTGGATGTAGCATGCATGCAGCCCAGTAGCAGCAGCAAAAGCAAGGTGCACAATGCACTGGGCTATCATGACGGTGTGAAAATCTGCCACTGAAGAACAGTATTGGCAAGAGTACATGAAACACAGAGAGCGTGTAGCTCTGGTGGGTTGCCGTCAGTAACGGCGAAATTCCAGGATTACATCATTTTAGTGATGTAGTGCGTAGAAGCAGGATCGAAGCAGATCTCTTTCTGCACAACTGCAGCTCAATTGTACGCGCTAGGCATGCCACTTCCCGCCGCTTATCTCCACCAACTATGATGTAATGCCCGAATTTCGCCGTGACAGACACTCATACAGAAAAATCACAAGCTGCACACTCTGAGTTTGATGTACTCTTGGTGTCAGCCAGAATTACTGACGATTCTTTGGGCATGATTTCGAAGAATTTCAGAAGAAGATATATCCACAACATGCGCAGCATATCAAGGGATTAGGAGAATTTCACCTCAATTCGAAAACACATGCATGTTACCAGAAATCCCACAGGTCGCATAAACGAGGCCGTTGTACTGTACGCATCCCGCACGCAGAGCGCACACACACACACACACACACACACCGCACCATGCATTGCTATACGCATTACATATGAACACATCTGTACTACTACTAGTATTCGGAGCATAGTCCAAGCAAAACCCCGTGAGCCGGGCAATGCCCACTACCGCATCGAAAAGCGCTGAGCAAAATTGTGTGACATCATATCTAGAAGTCTCAGGCAATTTTGGGCTGACACTATTGCAGACTCAGGCATGTACGCAGGGTGGGCGGGAGGGGGGGTTACATGGGGTCCGTTGTCAGGGCTGTAGTAAATAGCTACGTCACGTCAACCAACTCTCGCGCGCGCGTCGCATGTTTCAGCGCATGCGCAGTGCATGAAGACGTCAAGTAGTCGTATAATCTGCGACTTGACGACTCGTTGACAGCACGACGCGACGCCCACACGCAGTGCAGGGCAACAAGAGACGACAAACGAAAAAATCGTTCAGCAGGGGGGGGGGGGGTCGTCCGAACCCTGTGAACCCCCCGGGTACGCGCCTGCAGACTTCATGCTACATGAACTTAGACTTGCGCCCTCTTGCTTTGGGGGTTGTGTACACTTATCATGAAGTACTGGTAGCCAATATCAAGAGTACATGAAAACCAGAGTGTGCAGCTTGGGGCCTTCTCTGCTATGGGTGTCTGTCACGGTGGAATTCCATGATTACATCATTTTGGTGCAGATCTGAGGTGGGAAATGGCGTAGTGCATACAACCAGGGAGTCGTAAAATACGGTATTTTACGACTCCCTGATACAACTGAGCTGCAGTTGTGCAGAAAGAGACCTGCTTGAATCCTGCTTGTACGCACTACATCACTAAAATGATGTAATCACGGAATTTCGCCGTGACAGCAACTCATTCGAGCTGCACACTCTGGTTTTCATGTACTCTTGCCAATATTGATTAGATTTCATGTTTATTTGGCTACATGTATGCCGGACAGGAGTGACAGCACTCACCAAAAACAGCAGCAGGCGCTCTCTGCACCATAGCTTTTGCGCGGGTTTTTGGGGTTTTTGGAGCGTAGTCCTCTCTCCAGGCCTCATTGCCTCTTGCATTTGCCACTCTGTTCCTATCTTCTAAAAGCTGGTCCACTGATACTTCACCACCCTCAGCCTTTTCAACAGCTTGGCGAACATCTGGAGAAACGTAATACTTCATAACAGACCTCGGCGCCTTTGCCTTCTCGGTCTCATTTGGAGACGACATGATAAGAGTGGATATTCGAAGCAGGCCTAATCTCGAAGAAACTCAGCTACAACGTAGAAAATTGCTTCACCAAACAATAAACTCATGCACTGACAAGTCGACTGGTACTGAGCTGCTAGCTGCCACAACACTCCAGACACAAAACTCAAAATAAAAACTCAAAAGTCTCGTCATTTTCCCGTACCTTTTTGATCCCAAAAATCATGACGTCAGGGAGAGATATTTGAGCTTTGCATTAAACTTTTGCAGTTTGACAGTTTTATTTAAAAATTAATTTTGAGTCCGCGGAATATGTCCATACTAGTATTAGAGTGGTTAAAGGGAAACTGAACGCCAAAAATAAGTATGGCTTATCCGAAGGGGAATTGGGCACTGATTCCGATGAGCTATGTCTCGAGCCGATCAGAGAAGAGGAACCGTGTCAAATTTCATAAATAACACCTTCCATATTTGGAAATTGGGCTTGATGACGTGCGTACTGCTTAGCTGTCACCATGCTGTGCATGCTCAGCAGTGTAATTGAATGGAAGAAAACAATTACTTTGGTGTTTTGCAGCTCTGTTTCGTTCCCTGACGGTAATCAAATCTAGATGTAGGAATCTGTTGAGCAGGAGAGTGACACATGTCTTCCCGAAGGCTGTCCAGGCTGCAGTGGTGATGAAGAAGACACGATCATCACCCCGAGATCGATCGTAGCGAATTGGAAAACTCATGGTGAATTTGCTTCCACTCCAAGGCAATGTCGAGGTATGAAGGGTGCTTGTACTGCCTTCCAAAGTGAAGAGGAGATGAACATGGCTTTGCATAGCTGTTGTTCTATGCCAACTTACCTACTCTTGCTGGTACCGTAGTGGCATATTGCAAATTTCGTGGACGAACAACTCTAGTCACTAGTGGCTAGTGAGCAACACTAACAGGTGAGATTTTTCAATTCGACAAAAATTGTTTTTGTTTGAGAACTGACAGTGGCAGTCATTAGACTCAGTAGGTGTCTTTGCTGCTTCTTTCCCTTCATTGGTAGGGTTGTGCTTGAATAGTACAAGTGCTTGAAGTAAAATAAAATAAATAGAACACGTGGAACATAAATCTAATCAAGCATCAGTACATGTATTGCGAAGTTCAACTTCAAAGCACATGAAATCACAATGATCACGAAGTTTATGTAATCAGGAGTACACCCTGTGTTCAACGAACACATACACACATGCTGTATTGCGCACACACATGTGCGTGCACCCCCACCCCACCCCACAGACACACGCATGCAGCGTGCACATCCATACACATGTGCGTGTACCCCCCCCCCCCCCCACACACACACACATTCCTACCCATACACATGTTCGTCCCCCCCCCCCCCCCCCCACACACACGTGTGCACATACAGATACACAAACACACACGCACGAACACACACACACAAGATACGTGTAAGTTTACATGGTCTTCCTGGTGCAGATGCTGAGCCAGCACAATGGAAAATACCTCCATCAAGATGCTTGATCAAGTGTTGTGATAATGGCACTGTTTGTTTGTTTTTACAAAGAAGTGTGGGAAAGATTACAATGCATTATAATTCATAATTGTTCTTTGCCTTGTACTGTGCAGACCAGAATGCTTCGCTATCAACTCCTGGCTTTCCATCGGCATGGTGTTCAGCTGCAGCGGCATCTGGTCCGGGGAGTTCAAGTTGCTGGATGGCTGCACTGACACAGGATGGGTTTGTGTTGGCAATGCGATACGGCAGTCATCCCACACCACGAGCTACATGTTTATGTAATTTATATTGTCCCTCGTCCAGCAACGTCAAGGCTCTGCATGTAAACACAGGAGAACACCATAATACTACTCAGAGGATAATAATTTTGGATATCAATTTCGTGACAATTATTAGATTCACACAATATTCACAACGTATGCAACACGATGCTGTCTATTGACACTACTTCAAACTGAAGTGCTCACTACTCCTCTCCCGTTTTCATCTCCCTCTACCTTATGAATACTCTGCATTACCGGTTTCGTTTCTACCCTTTCCTTTGCTGCCAGCTCCCAGTCTTTTTCAATGCACAGCATGCAGCACCACCTTGACAGTCATTTTTGTGATTTGATGTACACATACTTTGAAGTTCAAATTCGAATTACATGATCAGATTTTTGTTCCACATTTTCTATTTATTTTTACTTCAAGCACAACCTTACCGATGAAGGGAAAGAAGCAGCAGAGAGACACCTACTGAGTCTAATGACTGCCACTGTCAGTTCTCAAACAAAAACAATTTTTGTCGAATTGAAAAATCTCACCTGTTAATGTTGCTCACTAGCCACTAGTGACTAGAGTTGTTCGTCCACGAAATTTGCAATATGCCACTACGGTACCAGCAAGAGTAGGTAAGTTGGCATAGAACAACAGCTATGCAAAGCCATGTTCATCTCCTCTTCACTTTGGAAGGCAGTACAAGCACCCTTCATACCTCGACATTGCCTTGGAGTGGAAGCAAATTCACCATGAGTTTTCCAATTCGCTACGATCGATCTCGGGGTGATGATCGTGTCTTCTTCATCACCACTGCAGCCTGGACAGCCTTCGGGAAGACATGTGTCACTCTCCTGCTCAACAGATTCCTACATCTAGATTTGGTTACCGTCAGGGAACGAAACAGAGCTGCAAAACACCAAAGTAATTGTTTTCTTCCATTCAATTACACTGCTGAGCATGCACAGCATGGTGACATGACAACTAAGCAGTACGCACGTCATCAAGGCCAATTTCCAAATATGGGAGGTGTTATTTATGAAAATTGACACGGTTCCTCTTCTCTGATCGGCTCGAGACATAGCTCATCGGAATCAGTGCCCAATTCCCCTTCGGATAAGCCATACTTATTTTTGGCGTTCAGTTTCCCTTTAAAGGGGCGACGAGAAAATGTCGTACCGATCGTACCGTACATAATGTCGCTGGATTATGCATGCATAACAGCCGTGGGTTTTGCATTCCGAATTTCGGTACAGCGTTCTTCGGTCATTTGTCGAACATCAAAATGTCGAATTTTCGCACCAACGTTTGTTTTGCAAGTCGAAAATGATGTGTTTTCATTTCGTGAGCCCCATGGCCCAGCATCAGCAACGTCCCGTCCCGTGCTCCTTTTCTTGCTGATTCCAACGAACTTTGATCGCCCAAAGACTCGAGGGCCAAACCTGCCCCCTCACGGCCTCAGTCGCCTCAGAAAAACCAACTCCATGCCCAAGTCAAATGTTATGCGTGTCGCCATAGTCTTTTCAGCCACACAGATGACGGTGAGGCCCTCGAGGACCAGGGAGTAGTAAAATACAGGGAGGTGACACGCCACTAATCGTGATTTTTGATGGGTGCCTCGCGCTTGTTTTTTTTTCTTTCGCAAAAAAAGATGATCTGCTGAATCAATCTTGAGTATTTGTCGAAGAACTAATTCCGTGAAAAGGTCTATCCATCTCATGGAACAGCATTTGTTTTGCTCTTGTGATACATCTGTGTCATCGTCATATGGAAAGGTACCACCCTTCCGAAAATCGTCCCGATCGACGGCATGGAGCAATAGAAGGAAGGTGATTTCCTTGAGAACAATACGTGTACGATTGGAGATGAAAAGCGAGTGCACAGATTTTGAAGTCGAAAAAATCTCTAGGACACCACACGATCGCCCCTAATTTCTCCTCAGTTGTGATCAACCAGTACTTCTCTACCTTCTTTGTGATGATGAGCATTTCATATTATGGTATGCTAGAGATTCGGGAGTTCACTTTTCGGAATGAAATGTTCCTAAGTTTGTCAAGGATTGAAATGCGGGCTACGTCGTCGTAAACAGCTTGTATCGACACAGAAAAAATCTACGGCACGCAGGGATATCTCGCAAAGTGATACCACTCTTGCTGGACTTCTATCCTGACATAGTGGTAGTTTGGTCGACTACCAAACTTTGTGAAGGCAGACAATTGTTGGAAATTCTCAGCGCTGAGTTTCTACGGGCTGCAGTAGGAGTCTCTTTGGCGGTAGGTATTTTACTACTCCCTGATCGAGAGAATCCTGATCCGCGCGCGTGTCTACACACTTCGGTACCCATAGTACCCCAATCTCACCCGCCGGGTGAAAACGGTGCTGAGGCAATCGTCAAACTGGCCGTACATGCTCGTGTCACCTCCCTGTATTTTACTACTCCCTGGTGAGGACACTCCAGGCGAAAGAGAGTAGACACTACTAGACAGGCAGTGGAGAGGAGCAATCAATGGTAGCTGACGATGCTATGTCGCCAAAGACGCCTGCCAAACGATGCCGAGATAAGAAACCTCTTTGAATAAATCAAGCGCTTGCGCTCTTCTACAAGAAAATGCATCCGAAAAATATTTTCGGCAAAGTGAGCTTTTTCCGAACAAACGTTTGCAAACACGCCGAATCTTCGTGTGCATTTTCGACCTCGCTCCCGCGTGCCGAATCTTTTTGCCGAATTTCGGAATGCAAAACCTCGCTATATTACTAGTACTAGTCCACATGGCATACCGCGCGGTACGCGGTACCGATAGACGTAGACCATGGTACGTACATGGTCGACAGTCCGGGTTGACAAAAAAATAATAATTGGTATTTTTATTTAAAAGTGTTCTTTGAGTTCTAATTCCTCGTTCTTTGTCGTTCGAAGCTTCATTGAGTCACTAGCTAGCACCTGTCCTGAGCACTGGGCGGCGGCGGGAGTGGATGGCTGAGTCGAGTAACAAACGAAGACTGGAGTTTGGCATCTTCGTGAAGGAGCTCAGTGCGTTGTTGACGCAAAGGGACGTAGCACAACTGAAGAAGGTGTTTACTCTGCAGGGCTATTCTATTGGTGAAAATGGCGACGATGGACATGAACTTTTGTCTGAGCTGGCTGCAACGAAGCGGCAGGACGTACAGCCTGAACCGGTGCAGGGTGCTAGAGGAGACTTTCCTCAGATCGGCGCAGAAGCCTCACAGTCCACGGATTATCTCCTCGAGGACCCTCGCTATGATAAATCAAGGACAATGGAGGACATATTCCGGAGGATTAAGCGAAGCGATTTGGCTGACTACTGCTTCAGGTTCTCCGGTGCGTATCGTTTGCAAGCTAGCACTGGCAGCGGTATCGTCGGTACTAGAGGGTCTTGGTAGCTAATTATTATTTTATGGTTGCTTGAGTCCATGGATCCTGACATACAACAAGCTGTGCGCACAGTCTGTGGTTGAAGTCAACAGTGCGGTGCCAACATGATCTATGATAGCTGCTGATACCACGTGATCGGCAATACTTACCACCAATGCCGCAATGGCAGAGAGTTCAAGTCGCCATTGCCATGGGTCACAGAAGGAAGCTGTGCATACATACCGTAACCGTATGGCAATCCCCAGATGCCACAGTGCAGCGGCAATCTGGTGCCGGATGCACAGAAAGCAGCACTGCTTCACTTCTATTCAGGCAGCCTTCGAGTGCCAGTAGCACCGGCACATGGCAATCGGTCTTGGAACAGACCCGCCGGAACCGGTTGGTCAGGTCATCTCCGGAGCAACTTGTTGGCCATCAACGTGTGTATACTGCTGAGGTTATGCATGTACATACCCCAGGGAGTCGTAAAATAATGGTATTTTACGACTCCCTGACATACCCACTATACCATACACAAGGTATGAAAGATCATGGTATGGCCGGACCAGTGGCAAACTGCTTCCGGCGATCCTGTAGAAGGTGAGGTGTTCCTGAGCTTAGCCGTGTCAGTGCGAACCAACTCGAGGACAAAAGTGCAGATCATGGCCATAGGCGAAGGATGTAATGATGGTTGATCTCGGTGACTGACGTCGAGGAGATGAGTGAGCGACTGTGTTGCGGTATCGCTACACTGCGGACTGTGGCCATGGGTTACACAGCTCCTACTCAGCTGCATGCTATAAAACAGCTATGTATAATGTAGGGATGCACTGCTGCAGATGCTCACCTGACCCAAGCCATGCACACTCACCAACGGTGATATCAGATCATCATTCCACCTGATGCGGCTAGCTGATGATACTGACAGAGATGTTCTGGTTCGCATGAAACGCAAAGAAATCACCGTGTGCCAAGGTTATAGTTGGTGGCTACAGACGCTTGGGCCGTCCTGATTTTAATGCCGAGATAAAGATCTCTGCGTTACGCGATGATACAAAGCATGCATCTCAGCTGATCATGTGATCGCATAACCGCCATGATTATGACATTATTGCGCCAGCTTTCTCCCCATACCTTACGCTACCAGATTTAGCTCTAATTTGTTTATGCTTGTGGTCCTATGTGTCTTTATAAGCATGCTGCTGGGTAGATCCGAGTATCAGTTGTCTGACGATTGCCTAGCGGCATGAAACTCAGGGTTACAACCAACCTGAACGTCCTCCGCTGAGTCTGCTATGTGACATATACATTGCTCGATATACTATTATGTATAAGCATGACTTATGAGGCCCTGGTTGCAGTAAGGAGCTCTGTTACTCATACAGTGTGTCCTCCACCGTTGTGATATGCTGCATGTCCTCAACTCCTCGGCATACCTGGGATAGAGTGATTAGTGCATCTTGGTCATGTGGTGTACCGGAGCGTCGGAACCGGTGCAGCAGATGCGTCCAAAGTTGCACCAATATTCTCATATTGTGATGATTGAAGCAATAAAATGTTAGCCTTTTGGGCCCAATTTTCCAAAAAATCCCGTTGAGAACGCCCACGGGACCCCCGCTTCCCCATAGCCGCACCAATGTCGAATACCTACCGACACCCCTGCTACATCCACGTGGAACACGATCATGGCATAGTAGTGTTAGTAGAATTTATTATTTTGATAGGGAGAGCCCTTATACGTATACAGAGGTTGTCATCTTGTTACAGGCATATAATGGAGTCAGTGGAGACAACATGGCTGACATCACATGACCGGGTACGGGTGGGGGTTGAGTGGAGTTGGAACCAGGGCATCGTGCAAAAGTTTTGACTCCCTGGCTGGAACCAACATAGCTGCCTGGTATGGTGATGTGAAAACAGTGATACATGTGCAACAGCTACCTACCACGGAGTAGTAAAATACCGGTATTTTACTACTCCCTGCTACTACCAATACCTACGACAACGATTATTATTACCGGTATGTGCAGGGCTCCTTGCACCGCACCACCAATGAGGGACTATGCCATAGCCATGTGTTCCGTGGGCATGATTACGTCTTGCTGGACAGTCGAGGCGAGAAGGCATACCGATGATTCTCCTCGTCAAAACAGCCAGAGCAACATCAACATTACGTCAAAACAGGCAGTCACATAGTCACTTATCGGCTTGATCAGTTTGAAGGTAGCCAAGGGGCTATATCTATTGCCATAGTGAATGGAAGCATATAAATTTGTTGGTAAAGGGCTAAACAAAAGATAAACAACTAGCCATTTGATAAACTGGTCCCATCATGATTTGAAAAAACTCTGTTTTTGTAAATCAACGACTCATTGGCCTTTAATCATTAGAGCTACAAATACAGTCATGCAATTATCAACAGGGAGCAATGCACATGCCGGCCTTCCTGGCTATGAGTTGACTGCAGATCTCAAGAAATGAGTGGTACTGACTTCCTGGTCAGTGTACTATCATGCATAAGCCCACAAAGCAGGCGCTAAAAAAACTACTTTCGAAATGTGCACAGCTACAAGTAAAGAGTCATCTAAAGACATAACCCAAAGGCAGTTTGTAAATGCAAATTGGTAATACTAAATTGGAGAATATATCGGTGCCAGGGAGTAGATAGAGCAAATAGGGCTTGGTCAAAACGACGAGCACAAAAGGCTCTGACAGTGAGGCAGGATTCCGATGCACCGCAGGGCAACACAAAAACAAACAGGCCTGTCGTCTCAAAGCCGCATACAAAGACAGCAGAATGGCAATGGCGGTATAGATGGGAGCAACAAGATAAGCCAACCTACTTGGTTTTCTTTCTTGACGGAACAATACCCATGAGTTTACTGATGATCCCCAGCATCACTTCATCGGCACCGCCACCAATTGATAAAAGGCGGAAGTCGCGGTAGAAGCGGCTGACCACCACCTCGTTAGTAAAGCCCATGCCGCCCCAGTACTGTAGACAAGAGGAAGTGAGAGTCTGTGCCAAGCGACCGCCCTTTAGCTTGGCCATGGATGCTAACTTGGTCACGTCATGCCCCTTAGAATAGAGTGCTGCGGAACACAGGGGGGGGGGGGGGGGGGGGGGGGGGACACAAGAGGTGCACAAAAAGAAAAGTAATCATCAGACAACAGATAGTTACAACCTTTCTGTTGTATACCTCTTGTGTACTCAAAGTACTGGCCTCTGCCCATCACATTGAGCACTCTATTGAGCATTGCATTGCATGGCATTGACCACCCTAGCAGCTATAAGGCAAATTGCCTCTGTACAAGGGAACAAAGACATCATTTTTGATTAGGGCTGAAAAAATTATATCGGTTATCCGTCTAATAGATCATTACAACGAAGCGATTTCGATTATGCTGTCAGTTTCGATTACGCGATTCTAAAAAAAAAAGAAAAAAAAAGCAGGATCCGATAATGTTACGTACATTTTAGATCGACAATGCAACTACTGTACTTTGTCCTTTTCCTCGTTTCTTTTTGTTAAAGAACTGACTGTCTGCACCCGCACGTGATGTGCCACTGCACTGTGTAGAGTACACGGTTCATCTGCATGTACATGTATACATTGTATGTGTCGTCACGGCATGCTTTGTGCTGGTCTGACGCTGCAATTTCTAGGACGCAATAATCAATATCATAATCGATAATCGAATCGATACAAGGATAGGTTAAACGATAGTTGAAAAGTGTAATCGTTTCACTCCTATTTTTGATGAAATCAAGAGGCAAGATAACTCTATGTAATAGACTTCTCACTTGAGAAGGACTAGCACTTTCCAACTCAAAGTAGGAGATAAACCACAGCACACCCAGTGCACGTGCCAAAAGGAAATGTTCTCTCAGACACATTTTCAATGGATTACAATGTTTTCGGAAAGAGGAACAGAGAGAACAGCTTGTGACAGTCAGCAGGCAACCCCACTGGGTCTATTGAAGCTCACAGAATATCTTACCTGCGGCTCTGTACAGCAAGCTTCTGAGAGCCTCCACTTCGGTTTCCAGCTCGGCCAGCTTGAACTGTATGGTTTGATTGGCCAGGAGTGGTGCGTTGAACACCTGCCTCTGTGAGCAGTATGCGGCGGTTTCATCAATGAGGAACTCCATGGGGTTGAGAGCTAACGTGCAAACACACAACGGTACATGAGTGTCAAAGCAGGCCAACATTCTACTTCATACACACTTGGGAGGTTTAGTCCCACGTAACGGATACGGGAACGTGGGTGATACACGTAAAGTTCATGCAATGGACCCACGTTCGCAATGTTGTTTTTAGTCACATGGAACAAACAAAAGCATGAAGCGAAAGGCCCAAACTTGGTCAAAGACGAAGCTTCAAAGCCCATCGAATATTTTAATTTCATGCTTCGGAAACTTCATCAGCTGAGCATCCTCACAGCTTCCACAACGCACTCCATTCTGATTTTCACCCACATTCTGGCGGAACGTGGGTGTGCCTCCATACACGGTATGTCGTGAATCAGAAAACGGCTGTACGTGGGTCACTGAGTATCACGTGGCACACGCACGTAAAGTACACACGGATTACGTGGGACTAAACCTCCCCACTGCTTCGGAATCAAGTCAAATACAAACTACTGTACTGAACAGCATCACCAGCAAAGAGTTGCAATTCCTATACATGTAGAGGTTATGCGAGTGGTTTTGTTGGGTGAGTCAGCAGAACCGAGGAATGGGCGTGAAGAATACAGCGCAAGTCAGCGCTTATGGGCACTTTGTACGCAGCGCGAGTCGCTAGTGAAAGTCCAGCGATGTGCCACGAGTTCGCGAGTCTGTCTAGTATCGGATAAGAAATTAGACGTTTTCGACAGTGTCCAAAAGGCTAACGCATGACCTACCAAGTGCCACGCCAATCATTCTCTCCTCTTGGAACTGCTGCATCTGATACGTGAATCCTTCCCCGCGCTTTCCTATGACGTTCGTCAACGGTACACGGACGTCGTCAAAGAAGATCTCAGCAGTGTCAGAACACCTCATTCCCATCTTGTCAATCAACCTGTTGACCTGCAGGGCATTACAGTTGGCACAGCACCACACACGCATGCACACATACACGCACACACGCATGCACCACACACACACCACACACACACTCACACACACACACACACACACACACACACACACACACGCAAACCTGTCAAGGAGACCACTCTGATAAGGTGACCACCTGTCCCAGGCAACCACATGAACAAGCACCGTAGGCCTAAGGGTGCCACTTCTAGCCACAAAGCCTGGAGATGGAGACCACCTGGGTGTGAAATTCATCAGGTTGAAGGACTGAGAAGGGGAAAAAAGGCTATAATTAGACTATTCTCAGCAGGACTGGACCCAGGTACAGCGTATCTTCGTTCTAGGCGGTGCTCTACCACTAAGTTATGGCGTAGTCGTCATTCCAGCAGACCGTTCAACATTGTCTTTAGACTTCGAAGCTTAGAAAATACGCACAAGATCAATCGCAGTCAACAGCAACCAACCGCTTTTCCCCAGATGTTATCATTATCACTCACCTTCACCCCTTTGGTCTTCATAGGCAAGCAGATGAGCGACATTGCACTGTGTACTGGTTGATCAGCTTCTGTCCTTGCCAGCAAGCACATCCAGTCAGCCTGTCCACCGTTCGTAATCCACATCTTGCTACCATTGATCACCAAGTCATCGCCATCCACGCGAGCCGTCGTCTTCAGAGACGCCACATCGGAGCCAGCGCCGCTCTCGCTGACACCAATACATCCGACGAGCTCACCGCGCACGGATGGGTACAGAAACTGCTGACGGAGCTCTTCTGAGCCATAGCGTGCCAGGGCTGGCGTGGCCATGTCTGTCTGTACGCCTATTGACATTGGCACACCCCCACAGCGTATGGAACCGATCTCCTCAGCAACGGCTATGGCGTACGTGTAATCAAGATCGCTGTCGCCATAGCCACGTTTGTGAGCACCGAGGAATCCAGCCTTGCCCAGCTTTCCGAACACCTCCTTCGCCGGATAGCTACCAGCGCGCTCCCACTCGTCCACATACGGGTTTATATCCGCATCGATGATTTTTCTGAGGGAGGCACGCATGGCAGCGTGCTCCTCTGTGAAGCAGTGCTCATGTTCAACAGGCACACGATGACTGCTGGCACAGCGACTCTGCAGTGCGCAGCTTCTGATCAAGTTTGTCCCCAGCTGGTTGCACCTCTTCAACATCATATCTATTCCCAGTTCAGCAGCTAGGTAATGACAACGATTGGGCACTGATATGATGTGTAACGGTGACAAGCTCTTGGATGAATCTCAGAACTCAGCTTCTCTTTTTTTCCCCAAACAGTCGTAGACCCGGGTGCTCGAATCAGAAACGATTTGACAGGTGTGCAATTTCTCATCTGTAAATCTCAACAATGTCAGAATATACTTTTGGAGAGGCGATGGAACAGGGAAGAGAGTCTGGCTTGACCCACCCAGCAGGAATTCAGAACCTGGGTGCGCTACAACACAGCCTACAGTACGCAGTAAAATTGACGTATTTCCTTCGGATTTTTTATTTGAAAATTGGGTGCTCGAATCAGAAACAGCGAACTCGTCAGATCGTCTCCGATTCAAGCACACAGGTCTACCATCGTCTACGCTTGTTATGGCAGTTGAGGGCAGGGAGTAGTAACTACTTACTACTTCGTTTTTGAGAGCAAGATGGTCAGCGGAGCCGCAGATTCAGCAGTTCTTTGGCAGCACCGTACCGTAGACCCACATCCTCGAATCAAGGACCCAACAAAAAGTGGGTCGCGAGTATTTCAAAAAGCGTTTACCGGGCAGAGCTGAAATTTGGCATACCGTTAGCGGGCCGTATGTTGATGGTATTTGTGAAAACTAAACGAAATCGGAATAGGTTTAGGTACAATTTCAAGCTGTTTCTGTTTTGGTACCCTGTGTCTCATTTGAGCACCCGGGTCTACACATGTGTCACTGTTGCACGAAAGTCCCTTGGTCTACTCTAACATATAACAGCTGCTGGTGAAACTGGCGAAAGACGTCGCGTTGTTGAACAACAAAGTCACTTCAACAAGAGATATGCTGAAGTAGCGGAGCTGAATAGGTAAACGTAGTGAGAAAAAAGCTGTCACTGTCTTCCCTCGCCAATCCTACAATCAGCTTTGCCCACTTTTGTCTGTCATTTAGATTTGTTGGTGGCCTCGTTAGCGCCGGACCATAGACTTCTCTTCCACAGAACTGTCAGCTCTGGCTCTCTCGACAAACTCGGGAGCTCAGCAACTCCTCACAGTCACACAAGTACAGCTGCCATACCATTACTGCAGTACATGACTATTTTCGATAATTTTCCAAGCAAATAAAAAGAAAGCGTCCCGACGCGTACAACTCCCATGGATACCATGCACGCATAGTCACCGTGTACGTGTAGATCGTAGAGTCTACTTGGACATCTGATGTATGAAAGAGCAAGCTGCAAGTGCAACATTTTTGTTTGAAGAACACAACAATCACAGCAGTTCTTTCAGGTCACCGAACTATCTCTTTTGTCGATGTTGTTCTACTTGGCTCCACATCAATTGGGTTGACGTCCTTCTGCTATTGGGGATGTCGACTGCCGAGCAAGATGAAGACCTTGATCAGGTTGGGCGGACTGTGATTGTGGAAGCTGTATGAGCTCATAGTCTGACAGCAAATTATTTTGCTTCACGATTTGATATTGCATCATGTAGGATATGCCCAATCTCGACTTGGGAGAATTGGACATAACATCAGTTGAGGATGATATCCTCGATGTCAGCGAGGCTGCTGGTACGTTTCCGTGTGTGTGTGTGTGTGTGTGTGTGTGTGTGTGTGTGTGTGTGTGTGTGTGTACACGTGTGTGTGTGTGTGTCTGTGTGTCTGTGTCTGTGTCTGTGTCTGTGTGTGTGTCTGTGTGGAGCACGACTGTATTCATTCACGTTATACCAATACTCACAATAGTCACATGTACCGTCCTGCTCAATGAAATCCAGTCGTGCCACTCAAGTTTGCGCCTTGCGCCTTTTCGCAGCTCAGTGTTCGCAGGTGTGGGACTGCGCAACGCCCAGCGTGTACTTGAGGGACGCGACTGGATTTCATTGAGCAGCACTGTACTATCAAAAGTACCCCAGGATGATCAGCCCGCACATAGACTTTACAGGCTACGTGCTGTGTTATACTAATACTGGCTTCATTATTTTTTTTTTTAGTTGTTTTTCTTCTCTCTTTTTCTTTCCCAACTAGTTGCTGTTACACTCACTGATACTTATGCACAGATATACAGCATTCCCTCACTAGTGGGACCATTGTTATTAGGCTAGGGCCTGTTTTGGACGTCCCACTCTAAATAAAGTATACAAACAAACAACAAACAAACAATGTCGTCACCACTCAAACCTGGTATACTAGTAGCTCTAAGCCTTGCGCCATGTCGATTCTCTTCATGGCACCACCGTGCATACGCACTGAGCAAGCAATCCACCCAAGCTCCATACCCACATAGTGTCAGTGATGTCTCAGGACCTGATGATCCACCTTGAAATTTGGTGTCTTCTCAACTTGTAGCATACGCATGTTTGCATAGTACAAAGCAGGGAGTAGGTCACTACCAGTCTTTTGTTACCACTCCATGGTGCACAGCCAACAGCCTTGTATGGTTGGGTGTTTGGTGGTCGACGTTGTGTTGAAATTATTATTTTGGTAGTTTAACTGTTAGTAACCCAGTACATACTGGACAGATATATCTGATCCCTGGGGTGTCTGTATTCGAAGAAATCCTAACGCAATCGTGCCGTAATCATGATATTATGTATCTTGTTATGGTATGTGTGTGTGTGTGTGTGTGTGTGTGTGTGTGTGTGTGTGTGTGTGTGTGTGTGCATGTGCGTGTGCGTGTGTGCATACGTTCAGGTCACATTCAGGCCAATTTGGATGATGAGCGTGTGCAAGAAGCCCTGAAAAAGGTAAGAGCCTGCGTGCAGTGTGCCACACTTGTCACTGGCTCTGCTGTCAGTCATTGGTGTTTGTGTTGTAAAACATATACTTGCACTGTCGTGGACATGGAAATCCAGTCAGAGGTCAAACGATCCCAGTGCGCTTGCCATGCAGCCGTGACTTCACATACGATCAACATGACTGTGCACTGTGCATGCAACGTTCTGTACGCACTGAGGGCACCGGTCCCGGTCATTCGACCGGATTTCAATGTCCACGGCAGTAGTTTAGGGTTACTAGTCTTTGACCAGAGCTGTCTAATTCTCATATGGTTCCTCGTGTGTGTGTGTGTGTATTTGTGTATGTCTGTCTGTCTGTGTCTGTGCACATGTGTTTGCGCACACTCGTGCTGTTGTTCTTGTGCAGGGAGTGGATTTGCGGCAATATGCCAAGCAGATGGAGGATGAGCTACAGAAAGTGGAGAATGCTTCCATTGGTGACTGTATCCTCTTGTTTGCATTGTTGTGTTGTTGTACACACGGGAATGCTGGTGGGATCAATGTAAATTGATTTTTGTACTGTCGCATCATTTTAGTTTTCCCTGCTGCTGTTCTATTGGACTTGTTGGTGATTTGGTCCTTGACTTTGGCAAATTGCGGCACACAGATATCAAAGCAAGTGAGAGTATTGCCAGTCTGCACTATCAGATCCACTCGTGTGATGGCATCCTCGAGGTGAGTAGGGCATGTGTGTGTGTGTGTGCGTGTGTGTGTGTGTGTGTGTGTGTGTGTCTGTCTGTCTGTCTGTCTGTCTGTCTGTGTGTCTGTCTGTATGTGTATGTGTGCTCGCACCCGTGCTTGTGTGCGCACGCATGCAGGTGTGCATGGTGGTATTGGCACTGTTACAACATGGCCTTGTGTTCTGACATACTGTACAGTTACTTGAAGTATAAGCTTTTATTTCATGCAGAAGCCTTGCATGGGATGGACTTTGGTTACTAGTAATTCCATTGGGTGAGAGGGCCAGTGCGAAAGTATGTTCCGAACTAGCTCTCCTACGTTGTGCACTCTGAGACTCCGGTGCGAAATTAATGAAAATAGTTCCTTGCAAAAGTCGAATTTTGTCTTCTTCTAGCGAAAGCTTTCACGAAATGAAAATTTGTTCTCCTGCAGCAGGTTCTTTTGATTTAGTCTGTTCATCTTCTGTTACTTGTGTGCTTATTGTTCTCTTCCGTAGCGAATGGAGCAGATGCTCAGCAGTTTCCAGGTGAGTCCTAGCTAAATTTCTCTACAAACGCCTTTTTTCGAATTCTCCTTTCAATGTGCGCTGCCCCTACCCATAACCGTAACTTGTACATGTGTGCTGGTGTCTAATGTAAACTATTGTATAATTCGAAGTTGAATTTCAAACACGGAGGTATAGCCCAAATTCAATGCCAGAGACCCAAGAGGTTTCTGATGTACCATTGACTTAGGTGACCAGGGTCTCACGTTGAATTCTTGCTTGCTGTACAGCAGCTGTAGTGATATTTGGATGTGTCCTGATGTAATGTCTACAAGTAAATCCATTCACACTGGGTAGGTAGGTTATGGTGGCCATGTGCATGAAGACTTACTGACACATTGGTTTATTTCTTTCTGCCCTGCTGTCTTGCCCGAGCAGGCTGACCTTGGTAGCATCAGCTCGGAGATTCAAAGCCTGCAGGAGCAGTCTCTGTCCATGAATGTTCAGCTGAAGAATAGGCAGGTATGCTAGACTGGAGAACATCTGAACTTCTGCTTCTGTTGCTGCTGTTTGTTTAGTTATTACATCAACGCCTCTTTAATAGCACAGTGAGAGCGCTGGCCGGAATGGAGAGTGGGTCTTGGCCAGCCACGGCAGGAAAGAGAAGGGGAAATGTGCCCATACGAGTAGAAAGTTTTGAAAAAAATTGTGGTAAGGGGTCGTCGCAAAAGTTGTTTGTCGTCCCTGAAACGAACATGATTCATTTGGGGGGGGGGGGGAGGGGGTGCGAGCCAAAATCGCAAGTCGACCGACACTGTACATATGACATGTACATGCATGCGATTTTCGTCGTCCAGCATAGCAAGCTGTGTTCGTTTCAGAGGGAGGGGAGGGGGTCCAAGTACGAAATGAACGATGTTCGTTTCAGGGACGACAGAAAACCTTTGCGACGACCCCTAAATTGTGGTAATTGACCACTAATACCAAGAGTACATAACCCCCCAGAGTGTGCAACGCCGATCCAGCTCTGCATAGGGTCTTGGTCGAGCGGAATCGGATCTTCTGATGTCATGCGTACACTCCACGCCAGCGCGAGGCCGGTCTCAAGGCAGGGCACCATTGTTTTTGATCCGAGAGTACCCGCGACTTCCCGGGTTCCCCTCAGATGTGTACGGTATTATGACGCAAAGATCCGATTCCGCTCGACCAAGACCCTATGCGCAGCGGGATCAGGCGTTGCACACTCTGGGGGGTTATGTACTCTTGCTAATACTAGTACTATCATGACTGTTTGCACTATTTGCAGAGGTCAGGGAAGTGTTGAGGTTATTTTCGTCTCTTTTTCGTCTGTCCCTCTGTTTGTCTCTGTCTGGCTGTCTGGCTGTTTCTGTCTGGCTGTTTCTGTCTGGCTGTCTCTGTCTGTCTGTCTGTCTGTATGTATGTATGTATCTATCTATCTATCCCTATCTATCCCCCCTCCCCTCTCTCTCTCTCTCCCTCTTTCTTTCTTTCTCTTTCTCTCGATCGCTCCATCTATGTATCTCTATCACTCTCTATGTTGTCTCGTTGTTGACCCTTTGCCTCGCAGTTCTACCACTGCATGAAGCTTCAATCAAACTCCTATTCACATCACTTGTGCGGAAACATTTTATTTTGACTCTTTTTTCCTCTTTTCTGTTTTGTTTTTCTGCAGTCGGTGCGGAGTGAGATCAGTCAGTTTGTTGATGACATGTTTGTCAATGACACACTTGTCAAGTAAGCACGCAAGCCGTTTGAGCTTGAGGCGTGTTGGTTATGTCACTGCTTTTGCCTTAGTGTGGCTACCTGTACTGTTATCTGTGCGAGTTCATGTGTGTTGGTGTGTGACTGTGCGTTCTTTTTCTTAAAAGTATCTGTGGTTGCGTCACATGCGTGGCTCGCAAAGCGGTTAGAGCATTGGCCTTCCAAACACGAGCAGCTTGTGGGTTTGATTCCCAGTTTTGAGTGAAGATTATTTCCAGGCCTGGAAGACCATCTGAGATGTCAGTTGGGGAGGCAAGGGCGACAAGGGAGAGGAGATGAGCACCACCCTCACTGTGTCGAGCTTAATGAAACAGGTCTCTAGCACCTTCTTCCCCTACGTTCAGAATTGACTATGGGCTGCCTTTACCTTTAGCTATGACGGCCCTCAAACTCTGTGACCAACCTGATCGGTGTGCCCCCAAGTTGGGTTGCAAGTACTGCTATGCAAGATGTAGTGCACTTATTCATTTGCTGCGTTCCCTGTGGCTTCATCTTGATTATAATCTCTCTCTTTCTCTTTCTCTCTCTCTCTCTCTCTCTCTCTCTCCCTCTCTGTCTCTCTCTCTCTCTCTCTCTCTCTCTCTCTCTCTCTCTCTCTCTCTCTCTCTCTCTCCCTATTCTATAGAGTTATGTGTGATGTCAGTGCTTCCGAGCAGCAGTTTGTGGAGCAACTACATGAGCTGGATCATAAGATCAATTTCCTCAAGGAGCAGGATTTCCGAGAGGCAATGTCCGTGAATGATGTCCATGACATTGTGGACAAATTGAAGATAAAGGTAAGATCCCTCTGCCGTTGGAATGGAGTCAGTTGGTAGCACTTCAATTCTCCAACACAGACAGTTGTTTGAGCTGCAAATGATCATCAACACCAATGATTGCCTTTACTATTGAACTAAAGGCACCACTGCAGGGTTAATAGCAAACCACTGGTTTGATTAGAAAGTAACAGAAGTTACAGAACCCATGTATGTGTGTATGTGAGAGAACTGATTACACATCCTTGGGGGGGGGGGGGGGGGGGGGAGTAGGCTACGAGGAAGGCCGATTGGACAAGCACTATACACTATACCACAGACCAAGTCAACCAAGATGGAACTCATTGTCAGTGTCACTGCCACTTTTATGGTAGTTGCCACGGCGGGCAGCACTATACATTGTGTGCATTTGTTTGGCCTTCAGTTAGTTTAAAGTTTAAACGCTTGTTATGTATGAAATGAATTAGTTCCAACTCCACCACATGCGCTCTCTGGCCTCTATTATCGTTATGTGCGACTTGTACCAATTGTACTGGTGGTGGCACTGTATGCTTCTTTGTAGGCAGTGACCAAGATCCGTGAGTTCCTCAAGGTCAAGATCTCTGGCTTCAGGCGGCCCATGGCTAACTACCAGGTTATGCAGAACACGCTGCTCAACTTCAGGTTAGCATAACGGCATGTACATGATCGCTGCGTTACAACATTACGTGGTTCTAATCTAGCATCACCTCACGGCATAGGAGCCCGCAGTTGATACACTTCATTTGTGACTTGTCCCGACTGGACACTGGGCAGCCGTGCTCCGGTCCTAAGTGTCTTTCCATAACAGCATTCCTCTTGTGACGGCGAGGGCTCCGTCAGTTGACAAACTGATGCTCTGTGGATGATAACCACTCCACTCCAGCCAGTTTTATACAGACAATAATAATTATTATTTTTTAACTCCCTGGGGGGGGGGGGGGGGGAGGGGGCTTGCCGTGTCCTGACTCATGCATGTACTGTGCATATCTGTAAAGCATGGTGTGTTTGGCCTTCACTGCAACAGGTATTACTACGAGTTCTTGATGGCGCATCACCGCGACACTGCGCACGAGATACGAACGGACTACGTGGACACGATGGGCAAGATATACTTCTCCTACTTCAAGACCTACTATAGTCGACTCATGAAGCTGCAGGTTTGTGCAGGATGTGTGCATGCGTTGTGCAGATCCTCTGTTATCCGTGTTGTGCATGCGCATTCACTCTCTGTTAAGTGTCCTATGCGAGGCTTGTATTCTGCTACTGCATAACACGTTGTTTTCGGTGTATTGAACTGTAATTTCGGTGGAGAAACCAGGCGCCTAAATTTCGATTACACCGAAAAGGCACTAGATTGTGCACGGTATGCGCAGAGAATGCCGGTCACCTAATTCTACATTATGCCTGAAGCCCATCAGGTGCCTTGCACTGCAATTGTAATACACCTAAGATTACATGTTATACAGTATAGTGCTGGCGCAGTTCATACAAATACACTAATACTTTGCTATAGCTGGATGCAGGGGGTTTTCTGTGCATAGTTCAAAGAAGTAGTTCCCACTGCTTTACTATATCATTGTCATGATGCTAGTCGTGAACTTCAGCCATGTCCTCGCCATTGTGTACTGAGCAAGAAACAGTGTTTTGAATGTATATTTGATTTCTTTCTCCACTTCCTTTCTTGATTTTCGGCAACCAGTTTGATGAAGTTGCATCAAAGGATGACCTCATGGGCGTTGAAGACACGGCTAAGAGAGGTGAGCGTTGGCTGCAGGTTTAGCATCCATCCTCCCACTGCCAGTCTCTCTTTCACAGTAAATATGCCTTACTTTAGGGTACGGCCTGTGGAGAATCCATAAACACTAAATACAATACAATCTCTCTTTCTCTCTCTCTCTCTCTCTCTCTCTCTCTCTCTCTCTCTCTCTCTCTCTCTCTCTCTCTATGTACACTGCACGTGCATGCATCTTTCTATCGTGGGTATTGGATTATATTGTGTATGTTGTTCACATTGGTCTGCTCTCTGTGTAGGGTTCTTCAATGCTGCCAGCCGTGTGGCTGTGAGAAATCGTACCGGTGTCTTCACTCTCGGTGATCGTGCGTGCATCCTGACTACAGAGTTGGAAGACCCGGCCATCATTCCCCACTCAGCTCAGAAAGTGGAAAAGAAAGTATGTTACGAGTCTTACGACTGCCCGGCTGAACGCTCTTTAATGCACGTACTGTGTGCTTGCTGCTGTGCTCTGTACAGAGTGCTTATTGGAATTGAATCAGTTCTAGATCTGAAGTGGCTTCACATCAATCACATGACCATACAGGACAGCCATGTCGGTTCCAACTGCACTCAACCCTAACAACTTTTATGATGTCGGCCATGTTGGTTCCAACTCCACTCAACCCTAAAGCTGTGTTCACAACTGGCGCGTGGACGCGGTACGCTTGCGGTTCATGCGCCCCCAAAGGCGCGCTCAACCTTTCACAAAAAACAGCAATCCGAGTCGTATTTAGCGCGTGCGACACCTTCGAGTACTAATTTTTTGACCCCGCCAGTCAAAGTGACTGGCATGTACGCTGATACGCGCCTGATACGCGCTGAAAATTCCAACATGTTGGAAGTTCCATTTCGGCGCGTTTCCGTACGCATGGCGCCCCAAAAGCCAGCAAAAATACGCACAAACGCGTGGTTTCACGCGTACACGCGCCAGTTGTGAACACAGCTTAACAGCTTTATGATGTCGGCCATGTTGGTTCCGCTATCCACATGCCATTATCACTTTCTACACAAAATTCAGTCACATGACCAAACTATGTTGCCCAGTGCATAGCCTTATGGTAGTCAGAAATACTTGTACACTGAACAAGTTTGTATTGTATTGTGCATGTTGTCTGTCACGCCCACTGCACAGTACTCGTTCGAGGGCTTGTTCCGGAGCCTGCACTATGCCCTACTGGACAATGTGTCGCGTGAGTACCTGTTCGTGGTGGACTTCTTCTCGCTGTCCGGTGAGAATGCGCAGCTCGTCTTCAACGCTATCATGGGCAAGGCTCTTACCTACCTGTTGGTGAGTTGTCTCAAGTGTATGTGTGTGTGTGTGGGGGGGGGGGGGGGGGGGGGGGGTGTCACAACACCATCACTTACCCCAGTGCCTGGCATACATGTGCAGTACTGGTCAGTGATGTCCGATTGCATGAGTCAAGTTTGCATGCCGCACCATATCACAGGCCAGTGTTCACAGCTCGGTATGTCCATGTACTTGACTCATGTCATTGAATTTCATTGAGCAGCACTGTAGTATCACACTGCACTAGTAGCTTTCACTTGCTTTTCTTCATGTAGATACGAGTGTTGTCCAGCTGCCATGCTTGACTCCATGTCTTTTTCAAATCAAGTTTGCAGTAAAGGGTAGTGTAGCACCCGCATTCAACGTTGTTAGCAGAGAACTTGTGCAGAGGCGAATCTTGAAACACATGTACGAATTGGACGTTTTGTGTGTACAAATTGGTTGACTTTGTCATGAGGGAAATGAAGCTCTCTTCTGCTTTAGCACCTCACCAATTCGCCCTTCTGATAATGCATGGGTTGGATGTTTTGTGAACCCATCGTGTTTCGTCATGTGCACGCTGTCTCTACAGCGTAACTTGGAAGCGTACATTGAGGGTTCGTTCGACGCCATCAGCATATTCCTGTGCATTCATGTGCTGTACCGCTACGAGGGTATCCTCAAGCGGCGCAACGTGCCGTCATTGGCAAGGTGAGTTACTGGTACTGTACACCATTCCCCAGTACATACCCTGGTGCTGCTGATGCTGTTCCTGTGCATTTTATTTTAAATACAGTCATCATTTGTATTTTAAATTAAAGTCTAATTTTTGAAGCTGTTTTTGTGCTAGCAGGTTAAAGTGCACTGCCTCTGTGAAGCTGTTTTTGTATGATTTTCTTTCATACTTTATCCTGCTATGCTATGCAGCTACATCCAACGTCTGCAGAACCAGCTGTGGCCGCGCTTTGAAACAATTGTGGAGTTGAACCTGTCCAGCATTCGTGACTGTGAGCCCAGCAAGCTTGGCCATATCGACATCCGGCCGCACTATGTAAGTGCAATCAACGAGCAATTCACTGCTTTGCGTTTGCCGTTCTGCTTTGCGTTGCCGTCTGTTTGAAAAGTAGATTTATATCGATTGTGATTCTCTCTCTCTCTTTCTCTGTCTCTCTCTCTCTCTCTCTCTCCCTCTTTCTTTCTCTTTCTCTCTTTCTCTCTCTTCCCTCTCCCTGGCTACAGATCACACGTCGCTATGCAGAGTTTTCAGCAGCCATTGTTGGCATCAACGAGAGTCAGCCTCAGCACAAGGTACTTGAACACTGATTTTCCTGTCTCTTTTAGAATCCTTTTCAATGCTTGGGGCTACATAATAATATTATTATTATTTATTAATATAAGCCTTTTCGCATTGACATTACCAAGCAAGCTTGGCTAGTTTTCGCTTAGGCCGAACGGAAGGAAGAATAAGGAATAAATGTCAGTGATTTCCGTAAAACTCTCAGACTCCATTGCAGCGTAGTTTTCACATCGGAAAATATCTCCATTGCACACCGTACATAACAGGCTCTCAGCTGCATCAAATAGATTTCCTAATGCCAATATTTCGCCCATTGGGCATCATCAGGGCATCCATGCAAAAGAAGAGGCAAGCACCAACATAATATACTCAGCAGATGATGCCCAATGGGCAAAATATTGGCATTAGGAAATCTATTCGATGCAGCTGAGAGCCTGTTATGTACGGTGTGCAATGGAGATATTTTCCAATGTCAGTGATGGCAAGGAAAATCCAAATTCATGATTATAGCTGCTCCTCCGGGGTGCACTGCCCTGCAGTGGCATTACAAACGCCGTGCTATGCACTGGACACGACTCTGCTGTATTCATGGGGTTGGATTTCACTTGCCCACACTTGGGCTGTGCTCACTTTCCTCAGTTGTGACAATGTTCTTTCATGTTATCAGAATCCTTGTCACCAGTGCTATTGTCAGTACTTTAACTTTTAAATAGTAGCACTGTGCTCAACGAACAGTATCTATCGGTGCTGACCTGGTGATCTCTGGGCATTTCTTTCTCCTTCCTGGACAGGTGTTAGATCTCCTGGGTCGCCTTCAGCAGGAAGTGGAGAACTTCATCTTGCGCATGGCTGCCGAGTTCCCTGGTCGCAAGGAGCAGCTAGTATTCCTTATCAACAACTACGATATGATGTTGGCTGTGCTGACGGTTAGTGGCATGTCATGTTACATGTTCAGGATATACTAGTCTGACGGGAATTTCCTTGTTGGCATGACATGGCTTCTCTTAGTGGATTGCAGGAATGTGTCAGATTTTTTGAATTGAGCAGAAAGGCTGAGCTTTTCCTGTAAAGGCAGACTCTCGCTAGCCAAGCATCATGGCTGGACATTGCTAGTACATGTAGTAACCTTAACACCAGCCTGTATGTGTCTGTGTGTGTGTCTGTGTGTGTCTGTGTGTGTCTGTGTGTGTGTCTGTGTGTGTCTGTGTGTGTCTGTGTGTGTGTCTGTGTGTGTCTGTGTGTGTCTGTGTGTGTCTGTGTGTGTGTCTGTGTGTGTCTGTGTTTCGTTTCTTTGTGTTTAGGAAAGAACCTCGGATGATTCGAAGGAGTCGGAGAGCTTTCAGCAGCTGCTGAATGCGCGCACTGGCGAATTTGTTGAAGAGGTAATTGGGAGCGGCAGCATGCGGCCTTGTGTACATGTTATCAAAGTATGTGTGTATACGCTCCAGTAGACTAACCAGGAGCAGCTAATTGGCTCGGGATGGAGTTGCTGGGATTGTAGATATTCATAGTTGATTGTATATACTTCACCTATAGGTGCACTCCCTTCAGCCAGCGGGCAGCACGACAGACAACAAGAAGCCCTGTCGTGGTAAATGCGGAAAACATGTACTTGTACTGGCACATTCGAACAATTGCCTTCTTTGGCTAACATGGGCCCGCACAGTGTTGCATACCTGCCAACCGTTACAAACCTGAGATCGCGACAATGACACACCTAGGTATAAAATGTGTACTTAAGTACAAATGTAGCTGTGAGGCATGTGACAAATGCACTTTTGGGTGCCTATTACCACCCTCGATATCGGGACGATCCCGGCCATATCATGATAGTTGGCAGGTGTGGTGATGGCATGTCATGCTTGTGCCTGTGAGTTCTTTGTCAATATCTCATTCCATGGCCTGATTGGCGTCTTCATCTCCAGGCGTTAGCACCAGGCTTTGGAGGGTTGATGACGTTTGTGAAGGACACTGAACCGCTGGTGGAGAGAGGGCAAGCAGGCCGTGTCAAAGTCGATCAAGGTGAGGGTGGCCGCAGATTGAGTATTTCGCTCCTGCTCTTGTATTAGTTGAGCATTCTCATGTACAGCAAAGGCAAGGGTAAAGGTCATCAAACCTCCATACTACATTCTGTAGGGTGTAGACACATGACACGAGAAAATTCATATCACTGGAGCTTCTTTGTACCGTTGTATGTGTACTACCTATGGTGTTCAAGGGCCTGCTCATGTGGAGGGACTTTCCTATCAGGGTGTACGAGGTTGAGTGTTTGACTGAGCATTCAGTCTGGGTTCAATGGTAATAGTACCAAGTTGGCATTACTGGCTTTGGCATTGGCAGCAATGTTACACAGTCATGGAGCTCTTGTTCTAGCTCTAGCTCTACATGTATGTCATGCTGCTCTACATGTACACACACTACCCAGTTTGTGTATGTGCTAGCAGTGGATCGGTTACTGTGCAGTTTTGTTTGGTCAGCTTCACTTATCATGGCATCATGGCGGCGCAGTGTTATACTACAGGCTGCACAGTATTTCAAAGCTCTTACACCGCGTCATTTCTTGTGTTTGGGGAATGCATGTGTCCAGGCCGCTTGCAGCAGATTGTACGCGGCTTTTCCAATGACTGGAAGCGCAACATTGATGCTATCAACCAGGACGTGATGCGCTCATTTTCCAACTTCAAGAACGGCCAGGCGATCTTGCAGGCCGTGCTGACGCAGCTGATCCAGTACTACCATCGCTTCACCAAGATCCTGTCCCAACCACCGTTTGCCACCATGGCTGGCCTCCGCTCGCAGCTTGTCAACATCCACCATGTCATGGTGGAAGTCAAGAAGCACCGTACACAGTTCTAGTGTTCGCCACCATGGCTGGCCTCCGCTCGCAGCTTGTATAGTAGCGTTCGTCTGGCTCATCTGCAAGGCCCTGCAATCAATGTGGTATATTCTGATACTCGCCTGGCCTTTAATTTAACCCTCAATGCTCACTTACCGAGTCACAATATGTGCTCTACCTTGGAGACGAAGTGCAAATGTTGAAGAGAAGTTGTTGTGCACCTCGTCCGTTGTATTTTACTTATTTTTAGTTACTTATTCCTGTAGAAAATTTCATATTGACCTTGGTATCTTGTCGCGTGCTTTTTCTTTTGCTGGTGTTTTTCAATCGCGACGATATAGGTAAACACATGTACATATTTTAAATACACCTATCCCATATTAGTCGTGTCGGTCTCTTGTCTTTGCTATGAATTGTTTAGTAGGTCTACTCTTGCGCTGATCATCAGTATTGCTGCCGAGTATTGTGCTTTGTGTAAATTTATGCGCTGCTAATTTAGCTTACTTTCCTGAGAATGTATAGTGATGAAGACAATAATTATTATTAATTATTACGATTCTACCAAGTTCTCGTACAACACGAATCGTCGTTGTACTAACGGGCATTGCAACACAACAAAAATAAGAGATAATATCACCATGAGTATAGAACCCCCCAAGAGTGTGGACGGTGAAAACTCACATTACGTGTCTCACTTACGTTTCGTACTACGTACATACGAAGGATAGTCTGCGATGATCATGCTGGATATTTTGCATGCGCGCAGTGAGTTTCTGTCAGAGTGATTTTGTATTACTCCAGTGCTCGCTAAAAACGGTCTTGAAACGTACAACTGCGACACTGCACCACGTGATGTGAGTTTTCGCCGTCGGTGAACCCCCATCGAAAGGGTGTCAGGAGTTGCACACTCTTGGGGGGTTATATACTCTTGATATCACCTTTAAATCACTGAAATTATACAAGTGTGAATTATAACATTGAAGGCGTAGGTAAACACAAATGCGTGTGCTAACAAATGAAAATGGACGAAGTGCTAGTACAAACAGTAGAGAGGTTCTGCACAACGAAAGTTCGAACGAAGTTTCGCGACAGGCCTTGCGAAAGTGTGTACGAATTTTCGCACGAACTTTGTGTTCTGCACATTTTCGTAGTTTGCACGCGCCAAGTGCACGTACGACATGACCCAATCTCACGAAACTTCCTACGAAAGTTCATTTCGCGTTCCCTGCAAGTTTCGCGTCCAAAGTTGCGAAAGTTCGTGCGAAGTTTCTCACTTCGTGACGTAGAGCGAAAGTTCGTACACATTTTCGTTTTGCAGAACCTCTCTAGTAACGGTCAAGCTTGGCCACACCAAACACCACATGTTACTTGAACAATTTCAACGTAATAATACCATCCTTTTGTACACACAAATTAGGCTTGTAAAGACGTTGATAAACAGCTTCCAACACTTGTAACTGAAGTCCATAACCATGACGACCATGGCACAATACAGTAAAACAATGAGAATACGTCATCAGGATTAGCTACAAGATGATTGTACACACAGAAGACTTTCTACTACAAAACCTACGTACAGTAAAACTCACTTTGAACTTTCACACCAATGGACCAAGAAAGACCATTCGACTCAGCACCCCGAAGACTACAACTGGTGACATATGATTTTAGCCTTAACTTCCTCTTTAAAACGGTGCCAATGTTATTTACCAGAAGATCACGCACCACATGAACCATTCAGCTGCTAATCAATGTGGCAGTAAAAGGTTTTATTGTTTTTTTTTATGTTGTACGTGTGAAATTATTGAAGGGCGGAAGCGGTAAGACTCTCCCGAATGCCGATGAGATTGAGGCGCCACTTCTCGAAACGCTCGTGCAGCAGGGTCCACTCAGCCTTGCCAAACGTTCTCTGCAGGCATGAGCTGAGAAAAGAAGAAAAGAAGAAACACACGCGCGCAAAAGCATATACATGAATTCCGAACGCGGGGAAGAACACAGTAACATCACATCGGCCCTAGCACCCTCGTTGCTCTGCCACAACAATCGGGCCAAGCAAAATCACATCCACAAACTTCTAGCCCAAGTTGGAGTGCAACAGGTAATAGACCACTGTACACTACACTAGCAGCTCACTACAATGTAATTCAAGATACAATTATCTGAACTACTAGTGCCAGATACTGTAAAACATGTCATTTTAGGTGTATTACAATTTCTGTGCCAGGGACCTGACAGGTTTCAGGTGTAATGTAGAATTAGGTGACCAGCTTTCCCATCACATACAGGGCATACTCTAAGAGGCTTTTAGGTGGAATTTAAATTTAGGTGCCTGGTTTTTCCACCAAAATCACCGAAATTAAAGTTAGACCAAAAATAATAACATGTTCTACAGTGACCATGTGACCCACTGGTACTAGCCACCACAAATAGAGTGGAAGCAAAAGTCAAACTAACTTCAAGGAGCAAGTCGGATACTGTACCAGTAAGACTGGGGCCAAACAGCAGTCCTTACCTGATGGTGACAGTCTGTTTACGTTGGTCCATTTTGGCCTTGACCAGACCACCGCGGATGGCTGAATACATACACACGTGCACACAAAACCAACAGAGTGAGATCGAAGAATGCAAGAGTCAGGCAATGCTCAGCATTGTGCTTCACTCCAGTTGACATGCATGAAAGTTAAACCAGCTCCACACAAGAGCTGACTCAGGATGCACAAACACACTTTGAAGTACCAAACATCCCCTGCCCCAACAACATGTCAAGAATAGCAGTTCTCACTGCACAGCGCCACACTGTGAAAGGAAGTCGCTAGCTTACCATCAAGAACAAGCATCTCTGCATCCTCGTCGGTCTCCAGGGAGAGATCCTGCTTCATGGTAGCGAAGCTGACTTCTCCAGCCGCTGCAGCCGCAGCAAGGCTTACAAAGGTCAAGAGGCGCATCTTGTGCTCGCACTTACTAGCATCAAGGCCTACGCACACATAACATGCACACACAACATGCACATGCATACACATCAGGGGCATACAATATTATTATGGTTAGAGTTTTTTGACAGAGGAATATTTCAATCCCTGGAGCCCAGTAGGCAGAACCCAGTTGTTTCCATCAAAGTTCATCAAGGACTCAATCCACCGAAATCACAAGGAGCAGTTATGCCGCCTAATGAACAACGGGCTGTACACAGGTGCAAGGCACAAACTATTCACTGGGCCAGACTTCATTGAGCAACTCTGGATCATGAGGAAAACAGGTGTGTGTGTGTGTGTGTGTGTGTGTGTGTGTGTGTGTGTGAGAGAGAGAGCGCACGTGCGAGAGAGAGAGAGAGAGAGAGAGAGAGAGAGAGAGAGAGAGAGAGAGAGAGAGAGAGAACTGTATCACTACTGGTGCAGTAGCACCCTGTTTGCAACAGACTACATGTACTAGTCTACTGATTCACCAGCTCAGTACAGATTGAGTAAAAAATACAACACTACAGTCTAAAATACACAAGCACCCACCCACCTCAACACAATACCCCAAGCTGGATACTTCTACATGTTGCTCTCAACAACATTCATGATGGACAAGAAAGCAGCACATGCAGTGACTACACAACCAAACAAGCAAGACAACACACGTAACGGGAACAACAGTACAATCAAACTGCAGATCATACCTGACTCCTCAACAAAGCTCTTGTTTGCATTGTTAAAATCAATGAAGTCAGAAAAGGTTCCCGACACGAAAATATTTAGCAGCTGTGAAGAGAGAAAAAGAAGCACAAGCACGCACACTGCATTTGCAAGCAGACATGATATGGTCACCTCCTGGCAACTGAACAAACAAAAAACTAAAAAATTCACGGTTCGCGTGAGACTCGGCTGCAGGCCGAGTTTTCCGCATCCGCAGGAACGCCACCGCCCTCAAGGATCAAGGCGCAGATGCAGCTCCGAAAAAGGTGGGAAGTGAACAGATCAGACCCACCAGCAAGGTGGTCAAAGACTGAAAATCCCATTCGCTGCATCCATGGTAAACTGAACAAGCAAGTAACATAATCAATGCAACTTGACCTCTGCTCAATTCAACTGCGAGTCAAAATCTATACTAGCACCACCCACGGATGGACATGTCCAAGTTCAGGACAATATCAGCCCAGGCTGATAGAGGTACACCTTGCCGTGCATGTGAAAGTATCTTCTGCGATCAGTACGTCTTGCACAGGGCGGCTACGGCAAGTGACAAGAATGCTGCACATGGCAACACAAGTACCATGCATACCGATGCACCATACCGGCGAAATAGTGAATCATGCCATACCTTGAACAGGGCATCATCCTTCATCTGCTGCACGGCGGGCAGGCGAAGAAGACGGTCAAACAAGTAGGTCTTTGGCTCACGGATGGAGTCAAGGATGCACTTCTTGGCATCCTCCCTGGCCTGCGCCGTACCAGGGTTAGTGTACATAGACAACAGGAGAACTAGCGCGTCGGTGGCAGAGGAGCTGCAAAGCAACATTACACACAACCGAGAGGACAGCACAGGGCAAGGCAAAGCAAAGAGATCTTCGTGAATACAGGCAGCTATAATCACATTATACAAAACAGAAAAGCATGCACATCAACCTAAATACAACCATAACCAACATAAGATCAAAGCAATTCTTTCAACATTAATTTCAACTAAGTTATGGCTGTTGTAATGAGCACGAGAACAGCATGAAAAATTAACAGCAGCAGCAGGTTACATATACAGGCAAGCTTGTCGGGATTCTTACGTTTTGCCAGTTTCCTGCAGAATATCGTGAAGACTTCTCAATGCGTGCTGTTGCTTGTCGGTACTGCACTTCCAGCTCTCAAAGTTCTTCTGAACCTAGAATGTACATGAAGTTGAACAAGTGACAAGCGGACACACGGGCACACACAGACAAACACACAAATACCACCCAGAAACACATGTATCATACACATGGCCATGCATGCCAACACAGAGGGCTGATAATGAATACAGTAAAGTGCGCCTCTGCAGGATCTTGCCCCAAGCGAAATCCTGCAACGACTGGACAAATTGCCATGCACTGCAACAACATGCAGCTAATGACAATTTCACCGGAACCAGCAGAACCCTGTAGAGCGCGGAAATGAAAAGGATTTTGTACCAACTCTCATGTTTATCTGCCCCAAGTTAATGTGCGCATGCGCATGTGTGTGCGTGTGTGTGTGTTTATACACAATGCGTCCTGAATGTGGAGGTGTTCTGGGTTGAGAGGTAGCAGCTAAGAGAGGTCCTACTATACAGCACTGTAAAAGCCTTGCGTAATCTAGCGAAGAGAAACCTGTTCTTAGCAGATAGTATTGCCCATGTACAGCACTAGTATCCGTGGTGAATAGGTGTGAATGCGCAAGAATCGTTATAATAGAGTAGTCTGCTCCTAGTTGCAAGGAAGGATGACATACATGTACACAGACACAGGAAACTAAAACATACATATATGTGCCGGCATAAAGACACACACACACACACACACACACACACACACACACACACACACACACAAACACACACACACACATGTGAGCGGGCTGGTCCACGCTCACACCACACTCACACATACAAACCACAGGGGATGCTTACCTCTGCTGGGTCGGTTGTGACTAGTCTGAGGAAGTTTCCTTTACGTGCTACAAGCAGCATGTGAAGCCACACATCGGCACGGTGGGCAGTGTGACCATCTTCAATTATACTGAACAGTGTCTTCAACCTGTGCAATGCCAGTCAAAGTAGTTCAAGAAGGACGCAACACTGAATTAGCATAACAGCAAATGCCGTCTATGCCACAGGCGTGCAAGACAACAACATGACAATGTTACTAACTTTCTGACTTTCCAAACCCAAAGATGGCTGACCTTACCACACTAAAATACCTTCCCACACCCCTGGTTCCACCCATAGCCAACTGGGCACTCACTTCGAATTGTTAACGTAGCACGGATGCAGCTAACGAGCTTGCGTTACCCGTTAGGCATTCCCATATTTACTCTATCAACCTCGCCCGCTAGGCACTGCATGTACCACCAACGCAGGCTATAACCAGGCATGGTGATGGTGGCCTGGTCAGAGCAAAACTTTCTTAACCCTTTCCGGGTTTATGACGAGTATACTCGTCATGCAGACCCCATCGCGTCTGGGCAATGACGAGTATACTCGTGCTATACTTTTTTGTACAGTGCACATACCGTACGCACTGGATAGATCACTGTACAAACAGCAATAACTCTGGAACGGAATATCGCATCGCCATGATCAATAGCTCATCGGAACGGTCTTGGACAGTGCTTTTCAGAGGTGTTTTCGGTGTGGCGGTAGCTCAACAAATGATCGAACGGCGATAAATTGAGCGCACGATTTCGATCTGAACATTTCTCTTACTTTCTGTCCGGCGATTTTTTTGCGACTTTCAAAGCATTCAAGAAGATTTCCCAATGACGAGCCAAAGGCAACATGACATATGAGTACATCGATTGAATCGCTTGAACCTCACGAGTTGGGTGCAGTTTGAATCGTAGTTCTACGTTGAGTATGAGCCCCGAACCGAAGGAAATTGTTGTGGGTGGTCTTGATGCCAGACTGGAGCACAATAGGGACACTGTTGGTGAGGCTAGGGGCGTCTATGGGGTGCTGTATGCTCTGAACGCACGTGGAAGATGACGATCAGGAAAAGAGCTTTCCAGTAAGCCATATATTGTGCAACTCCGTTGAGAAACAATAATGTTGTGACAATTTGTTTGTTGCTATCTCCACAATTGTACTGATGCACTGAGTCACAGTGCCCAGACGCAGTAAATGCACTATGACCCTGAAAGGGTTAATTGCTTGCGTTTCTAAATACAATTGTATAGGTGCTTGCAACATGGATGTGCAAGCTTCACTCTTCAAAAAAAAAACCAGTGAAGTAGGATTCAAAGTACAAAACAGAAATTGAAATTCAGCCCCCCCCCCCCCCCCACTGTCACAAACCAAGCCACCATTCAGCACGCGCACACAGCATCATTTGTGGCACCCAGGGAACGATCATTTAGGCTGGCGGATTCCGGAGACTAAGGTCTCACTCCCATTCCAGTTGCTCCCGGACCAAGGACAACTTATGCACGTGTAGTATGCCACCAATAATCTGCGACTGGACCAGGAGTCATTCAAACTCACGAGGCTGAGTTCTTTATCATGAATTATTATTATTATTATACGCATTCCCGCGGCAGCGTCAACCAAGCAGTTATGCTTGATCCACACGTTCGCTTATGCTGGACATTGAAACAAAGCAGATGTAGACAGCTCCTAGAGAATGGGGCTCTACAAAACCAATGATCGAAGTTAGTCCTTCAGTAACATGGAGCGTCATAAAATTGGTCTCATTGGAAAAATGTCATCACTATTGTCTCCTCATGTAGCATCATGGTCAATGGGTGGCCAGATAATTATACGTATGAGGTTGAGTTGCCAGATAATTATTAAAAGATTCAAATAGTAATATTATTATAGAATGGTTGTTATGAGTGTATATCATGAATGGGTACATGAAATTTACTTGCAATATCTTCATGCTGGCCATATTCAAATGGAACACTTTAACCCTTTCAGCACGCATCACGTATATGTACGTGATGGTACATGTAACTGGCCCACGGATCACGTATATATACGTGATGCGTACAGTGAAAATGAACGTACTCTCGAGACATCCGTGGTCGATGGATCTTATCCCTACGTGGACCAGTGACGTGCTGGATGAACGTCGACAGTTCTACGATAGTACTGACGGGCGCACGCGCATGTGCGGCTATGCACGCCTACATAGATGTCGCGTGCGAAATTATTTGAACAATAGAAATTTTGACAATTTGCTGTCATGGCGCGGCGTCGATATGGTGCAGACGATCTTGATCATGTCCTCGACCTTGTCGTACTCGACCCGGACAGTGATGTCGAGCCGACATTGTCTGAAGACGACATCGTTCTGTCGGAGGAAGATGGAGATCTGCCTGAAAATCGCGCAGCGTCGCCAGGCGATAGTGAAAATGAATTGGACGACGACGATGTCGTAGGAGACGCCGCGGATGACGATGTAGGTAGCGCCAGCAGCGACAGTGACGGTGAGAACGAGGGGATATCTGCTAAAACGCACGTGGAAGCAGTCGAAGCACTGGCTGAGGGCGACGATGGAAGTGAAGGTCAGTGTGCGTATGGATCTGAAAATAGTACTCATAATTTCAAATTTTCAAATAATTGTACTAAAAATCTTGTCACTCAGCTGATCGCTCAATGATCATGCACGGACACTTTTCCTCATTCACAATGCATGTAAATGTGCATTGTGTTGCAAATGCTTATCGTTGTGAGTTCAAAATTTGAATTATATTTTTAGCATTCATACACATGTACAACTCAATCAGCGGACAGAATTGTACAATGCAAATTATTATAATTATTAGCATTTGTGTGTGACACTGGGAACATCATAGGATTTGTCATGGATATTTTGTTACTGCAGGTATCTGGGTGAAACAGAATGTGGAACCTAATGTGCCGCCATTTACTGGCCAGCCAGGGATCAAGATGCCTCTCCCGGACGATCCAACTCCACTGCACTATGTCAAGCTGTTCTTCACTGCACAATTCTGGGTGATGCTAGTGACGGAGACAAACCGGTTTGCAAGAGCATACATCGACGCTAACGCTGAAACACTGGCCCGGCGCAGCCTCGCCCGCTCGTGGACACCCGTTACCGTAGCCGAAATGAAAGTGTTCCTGGGCTTGTTCTTGAACATGGGCCTTGTTCCTAAGCCCGAGCTTGACCACTATTGGAGCACAGATCCCATCATCGCCACACCGTTCTACAGCCGCACGATGCCGCGCGAGCGCTTCACCTCTATCATGAACTTTCTGCACTTCATGGACAACGCTGAAGAAGATCCCAACGATAAGCTCTCCAAGATACGGCCTCTTCTGACGTTGCTTCAGGAGCGATTCATGAGCGTTTACACTCCCAACGAGTACATTTCAATTGACGAGGAACTGGTGGCGTTCAAGGGAAGGATATCATTCCGCCAGTATATTCCGTCGAAGCGAGCACGCTTCGGGATGAAAATCTATGCGCTCTGCGAAGACAGCGGTTACCTCTTCAATCTGATTGTCTACGTCGGGAAGGACAACGAAACCTTCTGCCCTGAGAAGGTCAAGGAGCTCGGCGTGTCCGGTGCGGTAGTGCACAAGCTCGTTGAGCCGCTTCTCGGGAAGGGGTATAAGCTGTACGTAGACAACTGGTACACGAGTATCCCGGTAGCCACCTACCTCAAGGGCAACGCAACGGGAGTGTGCGGTACCATTCGCAAGAACCGGATCGGACTACCGAAGCGTATAGCAAATTTCAAGGGGCTAAAGAAAGGCCACTTTCTGTACCGGAGCGGTGGTGGCATGATGTTTATAAAGTTGCAGGACACGAAGGAGGTGCATTTTCTGTCCACGATGCACAAGGCAAACGTAGAGCCAACTGGCAAGCGAGATCGGCAGCGCCGCCCAGTCCGCAAGCTTCGTCTTGTACAGGACTACAACAAGAAGATGGGTGGAGTTGACAAAAATGATGAGATGCTGTCGTTCTACACCGCTGCACGCAAGTCCCGGAAGTGGTACAAGAAGCTCGCCGTGCATCTGATTGAGCAAGCACTCCTGAACGCGTATATCCTTCACAGGAAGTCAAACCGCATGACGCACTTCGACTTTGTGAAGCGCGCCCTGAAAGCCCTCATCGCCGAAGGCAAGGCGGAGATGGTAGCTCACGCGGAAGCAGCTGCTGCAGCAACTGGTGGAGCCACAGGCACGAAGCGCATGGACAGCCACTTCCTCCGCTACATCCCGGCAACCGAGAAAAAGGCTAATCCGCAGAAACAGTGTGTTGTCTGCTACGGCAAGGGTAACCGGAAGGATGTCCGCACCATGTGCGCTGATTGCCTCGGGAATCCTGGGTACTGCATTCCGTGTTTCGAGGAGTCTCACCGAGGGAAATAGAGCTGTACTTGCTTGTGTCAGGGGTGTTCAGGTCTGGGCACCGCTTGAGGATCGTGGCAGGCTTTATGTAGTTGCTAGCTACCTGCTAGTTCACTGTAGTGGTATTGCAGCGCTCAGCTACTTTGTGTGAGCTGCATTCAATAATTTGTATGAGCTACATTCTATAATTTGTGTGTGTGTGTGTGTGGGCGCGCACTCACGCGCGCCCTCGGGTGCGCTTTCATGCATGTGTCCAATAGTGTACATGAGTGTACGGGTGAATGTGAGTGCGAGAATTGCATGGCTGGATAGGTCTGTATGGGTGTGAATATGTGCATGCCTCTGCCGGTGTCTGTTCGGCAAGAACCTGTTGCCTAGCCATTCGTATTGCATTCAGTGTTTCGAGGAGTCTCACCGAGGGAAATAGAGCTGTACTCGCTCGTGTCAGGGGTGTTCAGGTCTGGTCACCGCTTGAGGATCGTGGCAGGCTTTATGTAGTTGCTAGCTACCTGCTAGTTCACTGTAGTGGTATTGCAGCGCTCAGCTACTTTGTGTGAGCTGCATTCAATAATTTATGTGAGCTACATTATATAATTTGTGTGTGTGTGTGTGGGGGGGGGGGGGGGGGGGGGGTGCGCGCGCGCGCGCTCGGGTGCGCTTTCATACATGTGTCCAATAGTGTACATGAGTGTACGGGTGAATGTGAATGCGAGAATTGCATGGCTGGATAGATCTGTATGGGTGTGAATATGTGCATGTCTCTGCCGGTGTCTGTTCGGCAAGAACCTGTTGCCTAGCTATTCGTATGCACATTGAATAGTTCCTGACGCCCCTCAGCTGGTTTCAGCAAACATGACCATATTTGGTCATCATCTACTCAAGAACAAAACCGTAATTATGTCAAACCTAGTTCTTACCATCATATCCACCTGGCCATTCTAGGATAAATGAGCTGAATGCTCTGGTACGTTCAACCCGTGTTATGCGAAAATTCATCAAAAATGCGTATATTTCGTACTCGTTTTACTGGCTTCTATTGACCAAATATGGAATTTTGTGTTGGGAATTGTTCTCACTGAAACCTATGCATTCCGCAGAAAAAATTGTGAGTGAATAGGACTACTTTCGGAAAATCACGAAAATCACTGGTTTTGGCTCCGCGGGTCAGTTACACACCCTGGCCGTGCTGAAAGGGTTAATGATCATTGTACATGTATACACCACATCAGAAGTGTACAAGCTGGGCCTAATTAAATGTATTCTCCCCAATTCACATGTTACAATGCCCTTGTGTACTGCTTCGAGCCCGAAGTGCTCATGAGACAAGGAAATCAATGTAAACATAACCGGTATTACAACGTATACACATACGTACAAACGCACAGACACATAATTATACACATACATACACATGCACATGCACACACAGTTGAATGACTACCACACTTGCGCATGCACCGGCGCACAGACAAACAAACGCACAACCCACATGTGCGCACACATGACCACAGTCCCCTATTGGAACAATACAAGTAGATGTACTGAGAACCTTGAAAAAGCACACTTACAGAGCAAAGCGGAATTTGGCATTCTTCTCAGTGATTTCCGAACCGATCTGCTTGCAAATGTTCAATACGACTGTTCCCAGCTCATGCGGCGGTACCATGTGGAACAATGAGAAAATGCTGGTCATTGTTGCCAATGAATCTGGTGCAAAAGAAAATATTTAATACGGTGTTACAATGTTCAAACAATTTCAACGATTATACCAAAAATGAAAAGGTGAAAATCCTCAGCTCAACCATCAGCACACTACAGGAGAGGAAGACATACCTTCATCAGAAGATCTGAGGCAGATACCACAGTGCTCTGCTAGAGCATGTACCACAGTGCTCATGCCATTGTCTGCGACAGTGACTGCGAGTTTTTGGCCTCTGGATTCATAATACTCCAGTAGCTCCTCAGCCTAGCAAATCAAAAATGATCAAGGAAAACGACGTAAGTGGACGGAGTCCAGGCGCGTCCACGAATCGGTGGCATTATTACCTGAGCCTGCTCCGATACATCGATAAAAGCTGGAGCTGAACTCATACCGCCGCCTCTTCCATCAGCACACAGAGATAAAAGAAGCTGAAATTTCACACAGTTTGCTGTGTTCACGCACAAACAAAACACATCCAGTCTTTTTTTTGTCAGAGCTCCACAGCCTCCAGTGCAGTATGTTTTCGCTTGGACCAGCGCAGCACCGTGAAACACAGCACTCTGCAGGTCTCCGCATCCTTGCGGCTACGGTGGCCATTTTCAATAGCGGCCATGTTTACCTTGGCAACACTTCATTCTGCAATCACCTAGGCAACAAGCTCATCTACTTGCCGCATGGCGTTTGGATCGCGCACTGTATCGGGAAAATCAGAGAGAACACACAGAAAAACTATCACCAGTGGCGGATCCAGGGGGGGGCCCAGGGGGCCTGGGCCCCCCCTTTGAAAATTTCGACCTTGGTCTAGGATTACAGTAGACTGTAGAATGAGCGCTCGAAATTACTTGGCGTGTCAAGTGGGTCACGCGTGCTGGGTACTTTTATACGTGTCCGATCACTCCGGTACATGGTGTCACGCACCGAGCATGAGTCTGTACTAGTCAGCGCGCTGTGTACCGGTGTACAACTACTGTACGCACTGCGACCTGAGGACACGGCCGCACTTCAAACATGTGAAAAACGTGCCAAAAATGCAGGGCCTGGTACATAGTGCAGCGATCGCGTTGGGCTGAAGTCCTGTTTGGTGCACGGTGCTGTCGACTTCGTCCTTCCTTTTTTCTTTTTCAATTGTCAGAAACTACAAGTATACGCTCTCTAGCTCTCTACTTCGCTTGTAGCCAACGGGTTACCTTCAGATATGAGATGAAGAGGAAAGGGTCTGACATCAGGTCGTTCTTCAGTGGACCGGTAGATAAGAGAGCTCGCGTTGGAGAGCCGTCCAAAGGTCCGTCGCGGCCGCTGTCGAGTGGAAATGTTCCAGTGCAGTTTGAAAATGTCGTGAGAATGGAATAAAACTAGAAACCGGCGGATTCTGCTCGAAAAGGTGGCATATTCTGCTCGAAAAGCAGTGAAATTGGCAGAATCATACAAACCTTATGGCGGGCAATTCCTCGAATTCTGCTCCATACTATAGTATTTTTATCCACATACCAAACATCCATAAAACTTACCAGAAAAAGTACCGAATTCTGTCAATTTTTCTGCCGGCAGAATCCGCCGGACCCTAAAAACAACTGCTCTTCACAGCTTCAGGACTTTGTTGTTGTTGTATTTGTTGTTTTGTTTTGGGGGGGGGGGGGGGGCGGATACCTTGGGCCCCCTCTTCGGCCAAGTCCTGGATCCGCCACTGATCACAGGTGCACAGTCAGTGCAGGCAAGAGTACATAACCCCGGGGGGTTATGTACTCTTGGTGTAGGTCTACCATGGTGGGCATGGCGTAGATCTACGTAGCTACGTACAGAGCTAAAGTCCATGGACCTGATGGACGTAATGACACAATCAGAACAATAATTACAAGTAACCAAAGCACCAGGTGACTTGCCATCGTCTCTGAATGCGATGCCAATTCACGGTCAGATTTTCCTATTTCAAGTATACACAATGGGCGCTTTCGATTATACGTTTACACAATTCTGGAACTGGTTTTTTAATTCTGGAATGAGCGGATTCCGGCCTTGTAAACGAACGACTGGAATTCACAACGCATGTTATCAAGAGTAGATAAACAAGAGTGTGCAACTCCGGATCTCTCCTGCACAATCTCCAGATAACCCCGGCCCACGACGGAATTTTTTGTTGACGTCACCTTTTTTCAGAAAAACGCGCTTCTTGCCGCAGAGCAGTGTGAGAGCACGTGCTGGGCACCGACCTTGTAATGTAAAGCCTGGCCAAGTGCACGAGGCAAAACTTTCCAAAAGACTGGGGTCGCGTGGGTCCTCGAAAAGATTACGTCAACAAAAAATTCCGCCGTGGGCCAACCCATCCGCGCGGATCCGGGAGACTGGAGTTGCACACTCTTGTTTATCTACTCTCGATGCCATGTCACAAACAAAATTGATGAATCGTAAAAAGAGATCACGTACACCCTCGCGCGCACGTGGACCCAGCATCGCACATGCCGGCCAGGGAGGCTCTTCGCGCGCTTGAGTCATGACCAGACCGGTAACACACCGACTGTGCAATTCTGGCACCAGAATTAGAGAAATTCCGCCCTCTCTTCAGAATTGACGGATTCGACGGAATTGGATAAAATCAATTCTAACGACGGAATTTGTCACTTTTTGTGTAATCGAACTGTGCATCAACAATAACTAATTCTAGAATTGACCGAAATGCGTGTAATCGAAAGCGCCCAATGTACAGTGCGTATCGGTTATAGCGTGGTGGTGTAAAAGAATACTGCATACAAGAATGAACTCTCATGTTTTCATAATCATAACATGGATTTCAAGTGCACATTTATTCTTACAAGCAATTTTATCGCAAAGTGGGATATATCGGTCCTAAGAATGGACTTTGTGTAGCGAAACATGCCAGATTAGTACAAAGTGTATCGCCTGTAGTAATAACATCTGTCCAATACAGTTCTGATCTATCTCAAGTTGCGTTGAACTTGTAGTGCTGCAGTTTCAACTGTTTTGGTCATGTAACTCACGTTGCATAGCCACATGGTAAGCCTATGGGACTTTGACCAGCCGCATGCACAGTAGCACTACGGTGCATGTACTATGACTGCGTCTTCCTGCCTGCGCACATGCATAATTACGATATTATGTCACACTTGATTTATCGTAAGAAATATCGGAAATAAGAATAGAAAGTCGTTTTTCAAACACCCACGCTATAACCGATACATACTGTACTAGTAATATTATAACAGCAGCTCTGCACATGTCATGCACCATAAAACAACCCCACACATATTTTGTAGCTGAATGCCAATGTTCTGCATTCTCACTGAATCCGCAAGAGAAGCTAATTTAGAAAAGTTAGAGTGCTGATAATCCTGATATGGCCACAACCGACAACACTGCACCAGTATCAATCGGGTAGAAAAGAAGATGATTCAGCAAAATTCAGCCTATAAGTCACATTTACATAGAAGTTTCCAAGACAACAAAAATCTGGCGGGAAGCCTAAAAAGCTGCCCGATCCTTTCAGGCAGGGTGCGAACCCTTGTAGAAGGCAACTTTCCTGCATTTATCGTACTTTCTCACCAGGTAGTTGTACAAACGTACAGACTTTGAACCCGGGTACGACTGCCGGCTGCTTTCACACATCCCAGGTCCATTGCGCAATAGCGTAGGGTCAAAGGTTGCCTGTATATTGCATGTAAAATGTGTAGTCTGAATGCAGGCTTGGAAAAATGTTGCCTTTTAGGTTTTATGTGATTTTGTACTGGATGTTCTATGTACGTAGTCTGATGAGGGCCTAAGAAACTTCAACTTCAAGCATCTACAGAAAATACAGTGAAAACATATGGACAACAGGGTGCCTGGAAGATATTTGTACTTCAGTAGCAGGAAAATAAAACAAGCAAATACGAGTGAGTAGGGGTGCGGCAATAAGCCAGCTGCTCGCTGGAATCTCATCTGAGTACAACCATCAAGTCAGTCTCTCAAAGGGGTAAAAAGTATATACCAGCTCACAATAATAACTCGTACATGTACAGGCACAAAAGACAAGCTGTAAGCACTTGGAAACTGCAAGCACAACAACACAGCAACAGGTTTCAACTTCGGGCATTCTGAACATTTTACTTGTCTAAGTGCAGTCTTCGCACGAAGAAGCAATCACGGGAAGAAAACACGAGTGGAGGATCCGATAGTCCTTAGGCACATAGGACATTTGGTCAGCAAATGCGAGCATGGCTCGCAGCACACCAAGTGGGCACACGGATTGAAGAACTGCGACGCTTCTCGGTCCAGGCAGATCACACAGCTCCGTGCAGACTTAATCCGCTCCAGTTCAATATCCTTCTCAGTTCGAGGTACTGGTTCCCTACAGCTGAGAGAACGATTCAACTGCAATCGAGCGCGACCATCACTATTCACGTTGCTTATATCTCGAGGCGAGAATGGTGCTGGTTGGGTTGCATACGGTCTGCTGCTGGGGTCAGAAAAATTCGGGCAACTTGAAGCATCTAGAAGAAGTCTCTCGTCTCCAACAACACCAACATCCAAGCTAGAAAATGAAGATGACGCTGTGAAAGTTGGTGTATCCAGCAATCGTGCGGCTTGACGGGGTTCCGGTGTAACAGAAATACGCATGGCAGCAGCACCAGCAATGGGTGCCTGAACAGCAACGGGCGAGGATGCACGCGCCCGCGAGTGCTTCCGAATGAACTCGCAGGACGGTGACAAACCTTCATGGCGGCTGTGTGGAGAGTGGCTCCTACGCCAGTGACGAGCTTGCACGGAACAGAACGCGCACTGGACAATGTCAAATTCACCTGTAAAGAAGAAACCCGCCTCGGCTAAGTCATCACCATCCACGCCAACATACGATGGCCAATTGGCGAACGACTGCCGCCGAGCTTTCTCTTCACCGTAGATAACGGTGCACTTCACCTGCGGCATCAGAGCAGGAATGTTCTTGCGGTTGGCACCGTTGACGTGCAGGCATGACGGCACGGTAGCCTTGTGACGATCCACACCCAGCTGACCGGCGCTCCAGTCCGAGAACAGGTTCAGGCAGGAGTAACACACCACGTGGTCGCCAGTGCCGGAGTAATACAAGCCCGCTGTAGCCAGCTCCCCAACCGAGACACCAAGCTGCTTGGGCCAGTTAGCAAACGATTCAAAGCGCGCTCTCTCGTCCTCCATCCCGACCTTGACCAGACTGCTGTCCAAAGGTACATTCATAGTGCACGAGCCCCGCACAAGAGTGCAGAAAGGCGACTCGGCACGATGCATACGGTGAGCGAAATTGCCAGGCTGAAAATCGCGCAGCACCACACGGCAGAATGCGCAGCGGACAGTGTCACCGTTCCCTGTGTAGTAGCAACCAGAGCGGGCAAGGGCCGACGGTGGCATTGTGACGGTCGCTTCTTCCGGATAGTCAGCATACGTTGCGAGCCGATGTCGCTCAGAGTGCATAAACGGACTGTGCTCATGCGGATCAGCAAGCAGTTCTCCCGATCTGTCCGCCAGTGTGAATTTATCGCCAGTAACGAGACTGCGTAGAAATTTGCAGTCTGGAACCATGCGTTGATGTTCATCAAGTGGGTTATCGCCTGGAGCCCAGCGATGAAATACTGACATGCAAGCATAGCATCGTACTTGATCTGCCCTGCCTGTGAAATAGAAACCGGCTGCCGCCAGGTCTTCCTTTTCCACCGGGCAATCTTTTGGCCAGCGCTCGCTGTCGTATGTCATCAGGCGCGTTTCCAAATCTGCTGTCAAGTCGACCGTATTTTCATCGACGTCAAATCCATCTATGTCTACTTCTTCGGAGCGTTCTGGCGCTCCCGAATGGTCATCACTGGCTACAGGGGCAGTAACACCAATACTAGCTACACTGCGAAGATATCCACACTGATTGTTGCGCTTGACGTGTTCAGCCAGTGGGTTGCTCTTTGCACTGTTGCATTCGAAGTGCAGAGCGCAGACAAAGCACCGCACAGACAGAACAGGGAAAGATCCACTTATGTAGTAAAAACCGGCCACGCCGAAATTCAGAGCGACCTCTTCGGGCACAGTAGATGGGTAGCTCCTTATTCGCTCAGTCTCCGACTCCATCTCTCCTGAGGATACTTGTGCTGTCATCCCACAGGCTGCTAACTTGACACAGCTCGAATGGCACTAGCAGAGACGCACGGCTACAATACACAAGCCACATGGCCAACAAGATGCGCAGCGAACTGCGACGTGTCACTGCATCGCAATGGCCGGGGGTAACACCAAGCTTTTTCGTTTCAGAGGAAAGTTCTCATCAAAACTGGTGGCAGAACAAGCCTACACAAAAGAATTCAAATAACTAATTGCAATGCACTTGCAGTTTCGTAATCTCCCTGTGTCTCTAAAAGAACACTAGCAGCTGCAAGGAAATTTCCGTTGCGGCCCTGTGTTGGTGACACACCAGCAGCGGCTCAGCAAAAGAGTCAGCATGAATGAGGCTCGGGTAAGAAAACAACTACTAGCGCGGCAGGCCTGCAGGCCAGGGGGGGAGAAACAAAAAAACAAAAAAAACTCGTGTGAACGGGAAAGAGACTGGCTGAGCTGAGGGGAGCAGGTCTGCATCTGAGATTGCACACAGCATTGACAGCTAGCTGCTTTTTCCTCTGTCAGCTGATATGACGTAATCTTCAAAACGTGGCCGGCCGCCGGGCGCCGGCCGCCGGCCGGTACGCGGTAGGCCTATGCTCGTATTTTTACCGATAATTCTTTTGAGCATTGCTCAAAATTTCGACCGATTATTCCCGTAATTCCACCAATAATTCTCACAACAATTCTTTTTTTTCTTCCCTTTTTTTGCAGATACCGTACCGCGTACGGGGTTTTTGCCACTTGTACGGACAAAAAAATCACGGTTCGCGTGAAACTCGGCTGGAAGCTTTTTTTTCTTTCTTTTTTGAAATACCGGGCGATCAACTTCAGGATCATGAGCTTTTGGTACAAATCAGGGTGTCATAAATGGAAAAAAATTGAAAAAAGGGGGGCATTGCTCAAATTTTACCGATTATTCCACAAAAATTGCCAATAATTCCCGTTTTAAAAATCACACCGATAATTCCCGAAATTATGCCGGCACATTCCGCGGAGGCCTACCGGCCGGTCTCTGTTTACCACGTTGTCTGTGACCAGGTGCCAGTGTGAGGGTCATCAGTTGACTGGAAATAGCAAGAGTACTCTTGGAAATAGCAATTAGCATCCCTTGTTCCTGCATCATGGTGTGTAGATCTACGTACTCGTACTCTTGCAGTCTTGGTTCTACCAAGACTGCAAGAGTAATTTACCAAGAGTGTGCAACTTTGCATATGAGGTCTCCGATGGCGAAAACTCAAGAAAAAGCGGTCGTTAAAGCCAGGTGGTCTTTAGAACCAGGTCCCACCGAGTGTCGGTGCAAGAAAAAACGGTCGCTAAGAGCAGATGGTCGTTAAAGGGGAAGTTAACTGAGGCAAAAATTAAAATTTCACCAGTTGTGAGTCTTGGGGGTGCTGAGTCGAATGGTCGTGGTCCGAGGAAGCTGAGACGCTCCCTTCCTACTTGAATCCCAATCGAACTCGCGCACTTCCACCGAAACTGGGTGACTGCGCCCTACTAGATGGGGATTTGTATGCAAAATGTCACTAAAAGCGCCATTTCGTTCTTATAAAAGCACAGATGACCGCGATTGGCCCATATGTTGTAGTCTTTTGGACGCTGAGTCGCCTGGTTTTGGTCCGAAAAGGCTGCGATGCAGCGTTCCTCCTTTATTCCCAATCGAACATGGTTGAACAAGCGGTCACGTGCTCCTGGGTGCCCAAATCACCTGGTCACCACGCCAGCAGGCGACAACTTTCACACCAAGGTTCAACTCGAGTTCAACTCGAGTGACAGGACTGCACCCAAAAAAAGGTCAAACAGGCTAGTAAGTTGTACCCTGCAGGCACGGTGACCAGGTGACTGGTGTACGCAGGAGCACGTGACCGCTTCTTCAACCATGTTCGATTGGGAATAAAGGAGGAACGCTGCATCGCAGCCTTTTCGGACCAAAACTAATCGACTCAGCGTCCAAAAGACTACAACATATGGGCCAATCGCGGTCATCCATGCTTTTATAAGAACGAAATGGCGCTTTTAGTGACATTTTGCATGCAAATCCCCATCTAGTAGGGCGCAGTCACCCAGTTTCGGTGGAAGTCCGCGAGTTCGATTGGGATTCAAGTAGGAAGGGAGCGTCTCAACTTCCTCGGACCACGACCATTCGACTCAGCACCCCGAAGACTACAACTGGTGAAATTTTAATTTTTGCCTTAACTTCCCCTTTAAACCCAGAGGTCGCTTACACCGGGTTTTACTGTACGTACCGTAATGCAAACGAAGGATAGCGTGCGCGCAATCCGAATATCTGCCATGATAAATTGATAATGCTAGGGATTTGCATACCCGCAGTGAGTTTCTGTCAGCGAGTGCTTTTTTTATTACTCCGCTGCTCGCTAAAAACGGACTGGAAACGTACAACTGCGACACTGCACCACGTGATGTGAGTTTTCGCCATTGGCGTACCCCTTAGAAAGGGCATCAGGAGTTGCACACTCTTGGGGGGTTGTATACTCTTGGTTCTACTGCTGTCGTCGACATGGAAATCCAGTCGCACGTCTAGCGGCCCCAGGGCGCTGGCCATGCAGCCGTGGATAAGCGTGCATTTTATGCGCTGTAGCGCTGTTTGGATTAACATGGGCACTGCAGTCTGCATGCAGCGTTCTGTACGCGCTGAGGGCGCCGGTCCCGGTCAATCGACTGGATGTCCATGCCCACGACAGTAGGACAGGCCGCGGTCGCCTGCCTTATCTAAGTCAGTAAGTGATCGCCTTGACAGGGTTTCCTGTACTACTGTCGTGGACATGGAAATCCAGTTGATTGACCGCGGCCGGCACCCTCACCCAGGCCTCAGCGCGTACATAACGTCGTAGCGTGCAGTGCACATGTTGATCCGATGCGATCAGCGCGCTGCAGTGCATAATACATGCATGTGTGTACTGCTTACCCACGGCTGCATGGCCTGCACCCTGCGTCGCTAGACGTGCGACCGGATTTCCATGTCCACTGATGACAGTAGTAACTGTTACGGTACAGTGACTGATACAGCAAAGAAACTAAAGCTATTGAGTATTGTGGTTTGGTCATGTCTCCTGTTAACGCTGACGGATCTGCCATTGTCGACCCAGTGTCATAGTCTAGTGGTCACCGGGTGTGTCAGAGGACCAGTCATCACCTTGGAGAGAACAACATGATCGTTGAAAATCATTGAAAGGGCACGGATGGAACTACTTCGTCCGAAATCAAAGTCAAATCGGCCAATGGCAGTAATTTGGACTATAGCCTTTAATAGGGTGCGCTCTTAAATCCTCTCGGAAAAGTCGGAGACTCTCCGAAAGCTGTTCTTACATCCTCTTCGAATTTTAAGAGGCTCTCCAAAGCTCTCCAAGCTTCAGAGGTGGTTGAAACTATACTACTTGGAGATTCCCGCGGTTTGGGATATGAGCGCATGCGAACTATGGCTAAAAGCCACGTGTTGTCATGAGTGTACATATATGCATTTCTCTTTTTGCATACGCACAGTGCGTACCACATTCGTTGCACTCAAGATCGCGGCCCCGTTGGCACTTCATATAAGAACGCACCATTAGTCATCACAGGAGTAGATACATGTATAGTGACCCCATAAATTGTCCAAATTGCCAGAAGCAGCAGCCTACTAGCGTGATAAAATGAAAGTCAACCAAAGATGACCAAATTATTTTTGAAATACGACTCCGACGGGGAGTGTTGGCGCAGAAACCAGTTTGTTTTCTCTTGGTGTTAGCAGATTACCATGTCAGGACCGGCAGAAGCAGTATTTGATTTGTCCAGCCATACCCTAGCCTTTCATACTTTGTGTATCAGGGGCGTTGGAAGGTAATTTAGTGTGGTACGGTCAGCTATCTGAAGAACAGAATGCGCGTGAGGGAGGGGTGGCGGAGCCGAAAATTTTGGAAATTTAGAGCCCAAATCAGTGCATTTTATTGATTCACGGGGTACTTGCGGCAAAAAGTGGTACGGTCAATACCGTAGCGTGTCCGACGCCCCTGTGTATGATATGGAGGGTATACACATGACCTCCTCAGCAGTAAACACATGCTGGTGGCCAAAACGTTGGTCCGGCCATGGCCTGACCACCGGACCTGTTCCACCGGACCTGCATTGTCAGAATGTGTACCACACATTACATGTATGTGACATACTGTAGAACGGGTAATTTCAGCGACTATTAATTTTAGCGTTTTCCCATTGTCAACCGGTTAGCGACGTTTTATTTTAGCGATTTGCAGCGATTTTACTCACGGATCACCAGTGCACTACTAATGTCTCAACGGATTAGCGACTTGAACCTTAAGCGAAAATGAGTCGGTCGCTAAATTCGCTAGGGTTTTTACGTCGCTAAAATTACCCGTTCTACAGTACCGGGAATACCACACAAAGAGCTGGCGGCTTATCACCATACATACATGTACAATGTGCGACGCACGTACACACGTACATTTCCGCCATGCCCATGGTCATAGTTGGACAATGGTCTATAACGTTACACCCGTACATCCATCCCAGCCTTGTCAGTGGCCGACTTGAGGGAGAAGGTGGAACACAGAGCAATGCAGGCCAGTTGGAGCCTCCATTGTACCCCCCCCCCCCCCACACACACACACCCAACCCTGGGTGAGCTTCTGATCTACCACTCTGCTGGCTAGTGGCTAGTTAAGTTCATGGTAGAATACACTATCCTCTGCCCGATCACTCACATCTGCTGTTGAACCCCTGTGTTCCGCCGGATGCTATGCGACCTTGCTCTGGATCGCCATCGTGGGTGGTATGCTAGCTCGACTTTCCTTTTTGGACTCAAGCAAATGACAACTACGATTTTCCCACTCCAGACAGTACAGAGCACAGGGGTTGGTGGATGTCAGACGGCTGAACTCATCACGTGATGTTCGCTGTGCAAGTGGACACATGATCCTGACCAGACCTGCACAGGCCGGCACATGCCCAGCATGTGGCCAACATTTCAGTAAGTAATAGTTGTAAACTTGTATGCAACTCACTGTAGTTGCCAACATAAAGACGGATCATGCCGGGTACATATTCATTATTGAATACTGTACAACGCCACGTCACCGAGTCCTGTTCGGCAGTACATTCTACAATGACAACTCACCTTTTCAGGAGTCATGGTTTGAATGAACGAGCTCAGCTCAGGCACATCACCTGGCGACACTTGCGAGACTTCGTCCTGCGGATGGCCATGATGACCTTCTCCTGTCAAAGACCAGTCAAAGCTTCGACGTGACCACCAAGCTCGACTGAACTCATTCAAGCGTGTCAGCTCACTCGCCACGTTCTTCGGTCTTATCTGCCGGCACGCGCTGCGAATGGGTGGAGTTGCACGCGTTGCGTGATTGCAGCTCGCCTAGCGATATCGTGGGTTTCCCATCATCAGTTCCTGCGCACGAACACACCCAACAATCACTCGGACCGGCATACAATAGCGTCCTTGGTTCATTCCGAGCGACGGGTGAGTGTGTGTGCAGATGCGGGTCGGTGTGTCGGTTGGTCTGCAAACGCCACTGATACCGTCACCTAAGACGCCGAAGTGAAGCCATTGTGCACCCACCTGACCATCACCAGAGGTAAGCTGCAGCCATGGCGGAACCGCAACTAGGAGCAGGCGGACGGCGAGCCTCGAGACGAGGTAGGTAGATCTTATAAGGTCAACATAATTCCTACAAATTCAGATAGTATGCTCAATCCTCGTTTCCCATTTGCCACGAGTTTCCTTTACTCGTGGTCTTAGGCCGGTTAGGGTGGCCGTGGGATAGATTCGCTGTATACAGACCAGTAGAGTCTACTACTAGTACTAGTGTTAGTATTGTAGAACCAGTCCTGTTACCTCTGCTATCGGAAAGCGGACGTTAGATATCGCGCTTGCTGCACTAGTTTGCATTTTTGCCTTTGCCTCGGAAGCAGCTAAAATGTGGTGAATGATGAACAGAATAATTATGGTTGCAAAGTCCGAATTTCATTGATCTGGCTAGCTGAATGCTGACTGGTCTTTAAAAACTCGGATAGAACGAACCCCTCAGGATGCAAACTGGGTAGATCTGAGCTATGATGTAATGTCCGTGGCATGTTGTATCCACACAGCCCACAGCATGCATGGGGAGCTCCAAAACAAAGTGCCAGAATACACTTGGCATAGGATGAAACCGGACCGTGACCGGAGGGAATGCACACCAGTGTGTTTGTCGAAGGAGCAAGAAAACTGAACTCATAGTGTACACAGGTATCCATGCAACCTTCCCTGTCACCTACAAACACAGCTTGTGACAGGGGACTACATGTAAATTCAAAAGCCACCATTGTAGCGCAACTGTTTGATTCCTGCTGGGTGAGCATATCAACGGGTTATTGTTGGAAAGTAAAGAACAGTAAATATTACGGGTTCACGTACAGGGCCGATCAGGAGCCACCTTTCCGCTTCCGTGGAACGCCACCGCTCTATGATCAGGTGTCAGGTGCAGCTCATAAACAGCGGGGGGGGGGGGGGGGGGGTGGGGGTAGATCAGATCCACCAAGCAGAGGCCAACGGCTGAAATCCCATTTGCCGCATCCATGTTACCCTTGGAGGTCGCAGCACGGTTGGAAAATCCATCCGTTCCCAGGTAGGACTTGAACTGGCCTGGTACCTATACCTACTTCAAAGTACCATTTCTTGATCATGGTCTTAGACCAACCCACTGTGCCTGCCGGTACCTTGGGCAAGAGGTTTCCGGGCAGGCACAGATTCTCCCATTCTTTCAAAATGTATCCCTCACCCACGGTTTAATAGCATCGCTTTGTAATGTCACAGTCCGTTCCGAGACGGCTTCTGCAGAGCTTTGTAATGTCACAGTCCGTTCCGAGACGGCTTCTGCAGAGCTTTGTAATGTCACAGTCCGTTCCGAGACGGCTTCTGCAGAGCTTTGTAATGTCACAGTCCGTTCCGAGACGGCTTCTGCAGAGCTTAGTACACATACCTACCACTACTAGTAGCGTCCTTGCTGTCGAGAGCGGAGGTTCTTGCTCAGCTAACCAGGAATGAGCAACAGAAGAAGAGCGCCTACCTGCAGAGGGTGATATATGTAGAGAGAGGTGCATTTACACCCTTGGTTTTTGCCACCAATGGCATGTGCAGCCAGGAGTGTTCACGTTCACTGACGAATTTGGTTGGCCTAATTATCAACAAGCATTCTGATTTGCATGACTCTTCCTTGGTTTCCCCTGTTTCTCTCTAGCTATTCTTGTGTACCTTCTTTTGCTATTCTTCACTTATGTGTGGCTTTGAATAAATCATGGATTACTACCTACTACTAGCACTTCTGCCGCTAGGGTTTACCGGGTGTTAGCGGCCGTCGTGAGCTCTCTTCGGGAACGGACACGATAATTTACTCTTTTTTTTTACTAGTTATCACATCTTTATTATGTGATAGTGTTGTAGTGCGTGTAAAGCTCACTTGGTAGTCTCCATGGCAACAGAGATCCTTCACTGCATGTGCCCATCTCTTCTGTTCGTTTGTCTGTCCGTGGCAGTACCCAAAACCTTCCTGCATGCATCGTCCAGCTTGATCAAGGGCAGTATTATATACAATGTAAAGGTAAGACTGTCACTACTGCGACATGCTGATCATGCATACATGCAGTAGACTGTGTTCAGTCTGGGCTTTCTCCCGGCAGTATTGACTAAGCCATACATTGCACTCATCTCCCTTCATCTTTTCCTCATCTATATTTCCACAGGAGAGCCTCTCAATAGGCTCGCGCAGCCTTTGGACAATCCTTTTTTTTTTTTTTTTTTTTTTTTAATAAAACCCATTAATCAATCAATGTATACAAGTGACATAGTGACTAAATCAAGTGGGCGCTCCACTGCCGAAGGAGTGATCTATAGTTTTATTCTATACCCACACCGGGCAGAGCCTTCCATACATGGAGCAAGTGGCATTCTGGGCAGTCTTGCCAGAGCACTATCACCAGGTCTCTGTAAACTTGGATCAATGAAAAGGTCAAAAGTATGATAATTTCACTGGTCCCAGTAATAGAACACACTTTCGCTAGCATTAATACCACACACCAAGTCACCGATAATGGCAAATGATCCCGCTGGCAAATTCCTCACGAATTGAAAACTGAACCACGCACCCGGTGACTTAGTGCATGCCATGCACATGCTTGATTCATACTTATAGTGGTGGTAAACACACACCGGGCAATGTGGGGGTAAATGCACGCCGCCTGAATCAACCCTACGTACAGCTGCAGTGGAGTTTTCAACTCCATGCACATGCTTTGCCATGAAAACACCGCCACTTTGGCACTCAGTGCTGTCCACTGTCTGTGTGATGCTCCTTCCAGTATTGGGGCTCTGTGGAGGTGAGCAAACCGAAAGGAGCCGACATAGTCAAGCAGGCAATTGATGCCATATCGGTAAGCGGGCACAGAAGTAATTAGTAATTACTTTTTAATTTTATTCCAAGCAATACATGGCTGGGGTAGCCAATGACCACTTTGCGTGGCGATTGCAGGGTTTTTATAGCCAACCACGGTTATTAGTTGGTGGGTGAGGATTGCCGCACGAAAAGGAGCTCAATCTCGTGGCAGAAGTGCCGGTAGGTGAGAAAGTTCTGAGTAACTTTTTAGAACTCGCATGAGTCACATAGTACAATGTGTACACATGACTACTTGATGCACTGTACTTCTGATTTGTTGTAACGATTCGTTTTTATGTCCCTGGGTACTGAGTACCGCACAGCTGATCATTACTAGCATATGTCCCTGGGCACTGAGTACCGCACAGCTGATAGTGACTAGCACTACTCGGGTGTGGACTAACTCTGCTCTTGTGTGCATTGAGCACTCTCCAGCTGCCCTAGCCGCTTGATGAATCTGAGGTTTTTTTCTAACAAAAAGAAGAACTTGATACCTGCTGTGTGTGACCCTGTGTGTTGTTTGTATAACTTGTCTTGTAGTCGCAAATAGGAATTATCAAGTTGAAGGGAGGCAAAACGATGAAGGCTACCCTGGGCATCTCGTACAAAGCAATCCGAACGGTCGATGCAAGGTCAAAGGTAAGAGAGCTAATGAGAGCCATGGCCGGTAGCTGTGCATGTGCCGCGTGTATGTGGGGAGGGGGAGGGGGAGGGGTGGCACTGTGCATGTGTGTGTGTGTGTGTGTGTGTGTGTACGTTGGGAGGGGGGGGGGGCACAGTGCATGGATTGTGGCCGGACAGCGTGAATCAAAGCCAACCGGGCTGATCCGCGTGGCTGCACTGCAGTCGCTGGGAAGCAATGAAAACTCCTGCACCTTTGATCTTTGGCATGTAATAAGGTACTGACTAAAGCACAATGTTGAATTATATTGTATTCTATGTGAGTTTGGTGTGGGGCCTTGTATGTACGGTATGCTTGCAGAACCCTGTACACGTACATCCGCTGGGTGCAGTGACGTACGCAGGCGATGACAAGACCAACAAGAGCGTGTTCGCCTACATCGCCCAGGACCCGGCCACTAGCAAGTTCTTTTGCTACGTGTACGGCGCAGACTCGGTGGTAAGCTGCCACAATGCATGGCGGGGCCATAGCATGCGCTCGAGGGTGATGCCACTGTCTTGCCTTGCGTGCATTCGTCCATACATGTGTGTCATGTTCATGATCAGTTCCAGTTCTTGGGATGCCCTCTAAAGTATGATGTCCACGAAGTGAGGCCAGGAGCCAAAGTAGATATTTTACTTCGTATAACTCGACCCTCTGCATGAAGTCCTTCACTTGATCTCCTTGCTGTGCGCTTGAGCATTGCCTACTGGCCTTTTCCACGCAAGTCACTCCATGATTGATTGTGCAGCCAAATTTCCAAATCAGATTATAAGTTATGAACATGACCACCATCTCCACACAGTCACGGAGTTCTTAGCTAACGCAACATGTCTTTCACACACCTGCATCGCTACCTATAGATAATAATAATAATGTCAGTAACAGTCAACCTCATGAATAATGACCTCGGGTAGCAAGCACTCTTGAATAATGGTACAGTCAGCAGACCTCAGTGACCTTTTTGACTGCATACATTGTACAGTCAATGTCACGAAAACGACAACTCGCGAATGAGGTCCCTTTTCTCATGCACACGCGAGGGTTGTTATTCGCATAGTTGACGGAACATGTATCGTTGACTGAAGTGTTCTCTTCTGTTTTTGGTGGCGTTTGGATAACCGTCATTCTACTGTACTGGCATACACACAATCAGTGGTAGAAGGAACGGAGGAGAAAGAACCATTGTGATGACGCATATGCAGAGGCTCTCATCCGTCTGTTGTTCTTTGTCTATCTGTTTGCTCTTGTCATGATTCCCAGGCCAGTCAAATTAGCTTAACAGTTGCTCAAGCGTTTGATGTCGCCTTCAAGGAATTCAATAAGACGTTAGGTGCAGACAAGGCCAAGATTCGCAAGAAGATTGACACGGTCCAAAAAGCTGTAAGACAAACCTATCAGCATGGCATTGTAGGAAATGATGTGTGTGTGTGTGTGTGTGTGTGTGTGTGTGTGTGTGTGTGTGTATGCTTCATTTCCGGAAGGTAACATAACGGTACTGTGTCAGAGGTTTGGTGCATAAATTATAATACAGTCATACGTATCATATTGTGCTCATCAGCGGTCTCGTGTCGATCTGCTTTATGTGAGGTTGGATTTCACAATCCACGGTGGTGTATGTACTGATGATTTCCGAGTGCTCACTGGTAAACAGTGAATATCCACACCAAGTTACCAGTCAGTAGAAGCTCAGCAGAAATTTTAAAACGTCTGCGCGCACAAGTTGAATGTCTGCTGAGATATTAGAGTACAGACATGTTTGAGTACTTTATTGTGGAAACTGCAGTGCAGTGCCATTGCGTGCTTTCTTCGTTTCTCTTCCGATTTTCGTGTGTTAGCGGTCGTCGTGAGTTTCCTGGAGAATGGAGACGAAAGTTTGCTTTGTTTGAACTTTGCGGCTTTTGTTGATGACACTACAGGTTGAAGATGCAGCTACTGGGGCCGGTCCTGCTCCCAATGGAGCACCAGCAGCCGCTGCTCCTGTTGCTCCTGTTGCAGCTGTGAGTTCTCTATGCTTTCTCCTCTGGTATGGCATGTCACATTGTGTGCAGTGGATGCACAGAATGTATGGTATGGGTTAGTGTCGAAGAGGTTATGGGAAAGCGTTTGAGCTGACGTGTTCTTCCCACCAACTCTCCCAACACTGAACACAGGTTTCATGCCAATCAGAACAACAGTCAACATTCCATTTATCGCTTTCATTGTTAACTTTTATTGAACACATGCAAACGGCCGAAGCCAACTCAGAGATGAAGTAGCCACCATGGTATGGCGTTAATTGTACTCTACTAGCATCCTATATACGCCGGGTACCACCGAGTGACGACACCATTGATCCATGTCAGATATTTTCACAGTTCTGTCTTGCCGTGTCGCATCATGCAGTGCTGTACATTCCCACAGGCTCCAGTTGTGATTGTTTGCATGACCCGGCGCATCTACGCATTTTACTGTTATGACTTGGCTGTCCATGTGTGATGCTCTAGTGGCTAGTGGTGGTCTCCGCTACATCTACTGTGCTCTGTTTGTGTACCTCTCATGTCTTATATGTGCATTCCTGTTGTACCCTGCACACCGCTCAGCCTGAACCGAGTGTACCAGCGACTTCAGCGAAGCTCACAGCTGCAGAGTCTATCGACGACCCAGGTAGAGACCAAGGGTTCTTCGAGCCGTTTGACCTGAATTCGGCCGAGCTACCCGCACCGGTCTTTGGACCTGGTATTGATGATATCGACGATGCAATAAAGAGCATTGAAGACCAAGTTGGAGGTCTCTTGGTAAGCAGGTCCCTGTAGTATTCGGTGTGCAATTATTGAACAATGACACTGTGTTGTGTTACACCGGGCCGTGACAAGCACGTGTTCTCCTCTGCTCCAATCTTGACAGGACTCTTGTCACCCGCACAGCCATAGTGGTTCAGAAACATGATGAAGTGCTGAAATTGTGCTGTGCTGCATATGCATAGTATCGTTCACGTTTTAAGTTGATGTGAAATAGCTGCTTTAGCTCATTCCTCAGAGCTCAATTCACCAGAACTGACAGGTCAATCAAAGTCACAAATTTTGTGTTTCTGAAGGAAGCAGGGAAACGCATATTCCTAGGCAGGCTGTACGCAACAGTTGCTCTGACGGTCTGTTGTGAGTGGATATTTTTTTCGTGATTATCTGTCTTTTGCAAGTTTTTTTTCCCATGGAAGTTGCATTGACTTTGTATGTCTTCCTATTCAATATTCTATGCAGGAGGGATTTGGAGAAGGCTTTGCCCTGGATGGCGGGAAATCTTAGGCCGGCCGAGACGAGCAAGCAAGCGGAATCATGCCATAGTATTTATTGTGCAGCCGGGCATTTGAACGGAACTGGAATTCCATTTTTTGACCTGCCACCTTATCTATTCTAAAGTCTTCTTTTTATCACACTGGAGACATACACACTATTCTTTGTATTGTGATATCTCGTGTGTGTGTGTGTGTGTGTGTGTGTGTGCACCATTGCAGCATCAAGGCACCCTCATTCATTTACCATTCCAGTATCAAGGCATTGTCAACGCAACATGACCATGGATTGCAGTCCAATATTCACAGACATGCCTATTTGAGTATTTTACACTAGTATTTCCCTATTAGATAGACAGTTGTCTAAAGTCCTCAGGCTGCTTACAGTGCTCAATGTCCAGTGGACAGAGCCAGTGATACAAATATTACACAGCAATGAAGCAAACAAATCTCTTTCCGCTGTTACTCGGAGTTTCGTGTGAAAACACTCATCAGACAGCATATGACCAAGACTAACGATCACTAGAATATACGATAGCTACAGGTTCTGATGACGACGCTCGCTGAGTGGGCATGCATCCTCAGCATTACACAAAAAACTAGTCCCAGCAAAAAAATACACCACAGCATCCTTTCCAGTGTCAATCCATGACAAATTCAGACAATAAAATTCAAAATATTGTACAGTATGCATAAAATTAAATCTGCCAAGTCCAGCTAAAAGTTGGAGTAGTGGTTGATTTGAATGTACATTCACAATAATGTCAATATGCCTCTAACTGCCACGAGTAGGCAGTAAACCTCAGTACTAGGAGCTAGTATACAAAATACATAACTAAACAAAGAGCAAAGGGAGATGAAGTCCAAAACGGAAGATATGTGCAAAGCGGTCAAAAACCAGGGGGGATAAATATCTGAAACCAGACCCGCGGCCGGGCCGAATATCAAGCAAGAGAGCATTGATGACGATGAGTACAGCAATAAAAACAGCTTTTGTACAGCGAAAGAAGCCAACAGCCGACTGCATCAAGCAGCAGCAGCAGCAACAGCAAATACACAGGCAACACAACACAGCAATCAGACTACAGACTAGCACAAAGAGAAAACTGGTAATACAAGGGACAGTGTGAGAAGCAGTATCTACAGGAGAAAAACGAGCAGCGGCAGAGTACCACCACCACCACCACCACCACCACCACCACCACCACCACCACCACCACCACCACCACCACCACCACCACCACCACCACCACCACCACCACCACCAGGAGTGCACGTGAATAGTTCATCAATCTGACTGGCAAGCATAGCACTGGAAGTCACTGTAGCAGCAGTAGAGTGCATGGTGATCCAGTCAGTACAGGTACTGGTACAGCATTACCAGTGAGTTAGGCTCTCCGCCAGACCAGGCCAGATTGGACACAGAGCTGGTACATTAGCAGTGAGTTTGGCTCTCCGCCAGACCAGGTCAGACTATGCACATAGCGGGTACATTACTGGTAGTGCTCTGCGTCAGATCAGGCCAGACTGGACACACAGCTATCACCTGCATGAAAACACGATGGATGAACGGAAGAAGAGGAGAAACGAGAACAGCGTAAGAAGTCACATTCACACACGTCCAAACCATCACAGTGTGAGAATGAAGTAATCCGAATAATAGGCAAATGATAACATTGAACTCCGACTAAGCATTACTGCACTTAGCTACGAGGCTTGTATACCATGGAAGGAAAGAAAACGCAGATAAGCTTCTCACCGTTTCTCAGTTGTACCGGTTGAATCATCACCGGTCTTGCTGCTGCTCTCAGGTGATGGTTTGCTTTCAGTAGCAGCTTCTGAGCCCGTCGGGGAGGTGGATGATTCGGTCGTTGGCTCCGTGGATGCTTTCGCTTCTGCGGACCCCTCCGCGTCGGAATCCTTCTTGTCCGCGCCATCGTCATTCTTGTCCTTGGATACATCAATGTCACTCAAGCCAAGTACCGTCTCCTCCTCACTGCCAGTTCCGGCTACGAATTCTTCATAAGTGAACTTCTCCTTGAAAGGACGCTTGCCGACCAGCTCAATCATGTCGTCACGTGTGAGTACCTCATTGTCCAAGAGACGCTCAGCAACCTGCCAGGCAGAACACAGCAGAACATCAGTAGCGGAACACAGCAGATACACTGGTAACAGTGTAACAAATAATGTCACACTGTGGATACTAGTGGCCTGACACATACGGACAGGGACCCGGACACATACGGACAGGGACCCGGACACATACGGACAGGGACCCGGACACATACGGACAGGGACCCGGACACATACGGACAGGGACCCGGACACATATGGACAGGGACCCGGACACATACGGACAGGGACCCGGACACATACGGACAGGGACCCGGACACATACGGACAGGGACCCGGACACATACGGACAGGGACCCGGACACATACGGACAGGGACCCGGACACATACGGACAGGGACCCGGACACATACGGACAGGGACCCGGACACATACGGACAGGGACCCGGACACATACGGACAGGGACCCTGGCACATACGGACAGGGACAGCTCTTCTGCCATTGCTGCTGTTGCTAATCGGGTGCAGAGACGAGAGCAAGAGACATGCATCGGATGCATTTGAGTACATTTTCAAAATAAAACCAACCCCACTGTGGGACGAGAGGAAACCAATCTGCAAACGAGGACCAACAAGTATTTGAATGCAAGGTGTGTGTGTGTACGTGTGTGTGCCAGTTATAAATTTACTACGTTATACTGCCTGTACAAATGCATGTCTTGTGAATGCCATGCAAGCGCCAATTCTGTTTCCTAGTCCTCTCTAAACACAATTTCGTGACTGGGTTCGATTTTCATTGCAGTGCAAAATTGAACGTGAAATTTGCCTTGCTAATCCTCCGTAGTATGATCTTTCCTCGTTAACTTAGTAGAGTCGTTGCTGGTGTTTACATCTCAGCTTCATTGCATACTTGATATTTCCGCAAACAAGACCGTAAAGTCAATAAGTACGTACTTTAAGTTAAAAAATACTTTCGAATTTAGTGGCCACACTCGTACTAACTTTCGGGCGGGTACTGACTAACTTTCCCACCCGACTTGTGTGTAGCGGAGAAGCCATTTTCATGTAGATGTATGTGCTACATGTTGCATGTGCGCACCTTACCCATACTTATTTCGGGCAGTATGTTTATTGGGCTTGACTTGACCTCAACAGACAGAGTCAATAGAACGAAGGGGGTATTTATTTCGGGCAGGTACAAGTACTTATTTACGGACTTTTACGGTACGGTACAAGGCATGTACTTACCGATGCAATCACAAGAAAGGCATGAATAAGTGTAGACTTGCCACATTCGAGAGTGGCTACAACAGACCATACACAACTGCAGTGTACTGACTACGAGCTCCGTACCTTGATGATGTTCTCTTTCTGCTCTCTGACCATGTTCAGCGTGAAGTCATAGGCGTCGTCCGTCAGCTTGCGCGCACGCTCATCCACAAGCTGGGCCGTGTGCTCACTGTACGGCTTTTCCAGCACAAAATCGTTCTCGCCCGGCGTGTCAAAGCAGACATGGCCGACCTCCTCGTCCATACCATACTTCAGCACCTAATACACACACATACACACATACACACACACACACACACATGCAGAGGAAGAACACGGGCAAATTATTAGAATCGTTGATTCGTAACCCTCTCAAATCGGTTACAGTAGATGCCGATTGTCCAACGCAAATTTACAGGAGCTGAAGTGTGTCTAGTTGGTGCAAAAATGAACATGTCATGTCAAATGTTGTACTGTGATGGCTGTGCGCAGGCTCTGGCGGAGCCTCTGTTGCTATGGTGACTGCCAGTATAGTAGTTACAGTCTACTCGCGATAAGTCACGCACTTTTTCATCCAGGACACCCATCTCAAGAATTTTTTTTATTTTCCGGGATTTTGTGGATTTCGTAGATATTTTCGAATGCGGTTTTCAATGATGGAGCTGGAATACTGTAAAGGTAAGAATATAATTATTATCTGCATATTGTATGATGTATGCAAACACAGTGTTGCTCAACAAACACAATCATTCTGCAGTCGGGAAGAACACATGAATGAATGGCTGAACCAGTGTCGTGCTGGCAGCTCGGTCATTTCGGATCAGGCAATCCAGCCGTCGTGCTGCAAGACTCAGTTCCGAGTTGTTGCGAGTGGTGCAGAAATTGAGCAACAACAGCATTGCTGCATCGACATCAGAATCTCTAGCTGCTGGTGCTGCTGCCGCTTCCTCTGCAGCCATTGCTGAGGACTCCGCATCATCATCCAACTGACCATCTGACTCCTCGTCTGCAGTTGTAGCTGTCTCCAGATGCTCGATCAATTCGTCAACTTCTACGTCTCTCACAAGCGGGTCATCTTCAATGGCTACCCATGTCTTGGATGCCTCCAGACATTGCGATTCAGAGATGGCACCGAGCTCCACAATGTCCTCAACACCAGGACCGGCTTGGGTGCTCTTCGACACAGCTTCACATAAGCTCTGCATAGCGGTGCAAAGATCAGTGAGCGACTCTTGATCAAGCGGGTGCATGGCTGTGCGACCATTACGCTCCTCCAGTGACGCCTGGGCATCAGCTGGCAAGCAGTTTGCTTTTCGCCAACACCGCAGGATGCTGAGTGGCCGAGCATACTTCTCCCCATCCCATATGTCCTTCATGATCGTGATGGCATCGAGAACATGAGGCTTGTGGCCATGTGCAACTCCCTTGCACCCACGTCGCTGTTTCTTGCCCGCCTCCAGTGCTGCTTTTGCTGTGCTATCATTGTCGAAGATATTCAAGAGGCGTCGCAGGAGATCAGTCTTGTATCCGACCTTGAGGCAATGGATGATCCCTTGGTCCATCGTCTGAAAGCGGGAGGTCAGGTTGGGAGGCAGGAATGTGATGATCACGGACTTAAGTGAAAGCTTGCCCACACCTTCATGAGCTGGACAGTTGTCCAAGATGAGAATGCAAGGAAGCTCACCATACCGCTGCTTGTATCAAGCACAAAACACATCCTGCAGCCACCACTTGGTCACTGTCCTGTCAAACCAAGCGTTGGCTTGATTGGTGTAGGGCTGTAGGCCATGGGTGGGTTGTTCCCACAGAGATCCCAACACTGCGGACGCTTGGACTTTCCAACAACAGCAGAGGTGCACACCATGAGAGTGATTCTCTCCTTGGCCTTCATTTGTTTGACTCCACGAATGGTCCTCTTCTCCTCCTGCTGGCAATATATGCGGTTCGGTAGCTTCTGGTGGAACAGCCCTGTTTGATCAGCGTTGAAGACCCGTTCTGGAGGAAGTTCCGCTCGCTCATAGTTTTCTTTATGCCTTCCCGAAACGAAGACATGGCAGCAGAGGCAACGTCCTCGTCCATCTCCATTCCTTCTCCATGAAGATTGACGCCGGTCAGGCCATTCCGTCGAAGCACATTGAGGCACCATCCAGGACTAGCGGTGAAGGAGTCGGCATCGTCGCCAAGCTCTTGCTTAGCGAAGTCGAGAGCCTTCTCCCTCAGGATCACCCACGACAATCCAAGTTTGTCAGTCACAAACTTCTCCCTTCGAAGCAAAATATACTTCACTAGCCGCTCCTCAATTTTCCCGAACTGGGAACTTCTGTTGCGGACTCCCTGTGGACCAGACGGATTAGCATCGGCGAGTTTGCCAGCTTCCGCATCCCTCAGCCAGCCGCGGAACGTCGCCTCCGGAACATTGTTCAACTTCGCAAATTTTCGAGCGGACGTTTTCCACTCTCACGATAGAGACGAACCAAACGCAGTCGATCAGCCACTGTTCGCTGTTCTTTCGTTTTCTTATGAGAAGGCATCGTCAAGCAAAGGGAAACGAAGTGTTGCACGACGGAAACAGAAGTGCGTCTTGTCAAATCTCTACCAAAACTAACGGAACGTCATTACTTGTCTTTCTCGATCATGCCTTCATATCGATCATGGCTTCACGCTGTGGTAGATCTACGTCTCGTGTACAGTGTACTAGTGTAGAGTGTTGCCTACAGTGTACCGTGCGCATGCAGCTCAGTGCTTGTACGCGTGTTCAGCACACATGTCCATATGCAGAAGAAAAAATGACGGCTGTACATATGCATGACGTGGTGCATATGTAAGTCGCGCATTTTCTGTTCCAGGACACTGTGCGTGACTTATCGCGAGTAGACTGTACATGTACAATCACTCAATGCACCATGCAGCAACAACACAGCATTGACAGCCTTTCCGTGCACGCACCTGACCATACGCCATACTGGTGACTTTCTTCAGGTCATCATGTGCACCAGTGGTGACCTGGTTGAAGAAGACCTCCTCTGCTGCTCGGCCGCCTAGTGTCATGACCATGCGTTGAAACAGCTGCAACAACAACAGCACACACACACAGACACACACAGACACACACAGACACACACACCTCAGACCTGCCCATCGCGGAAGCGATGATAGCGAACAGCTATGTTAGACATAGCAACTTGTGCTGGGATTACACCATTCAACAGCTTGCAAGGCTGATAAATTGACCGCCACTCTTTTTAGCCTGGTATCCACCACACAGCTGATTGAAGTGACTTTTTCTGGCCAGTGAATCCCTATTTTTCATTTTTCCATTTTTTCTACACACACCACACCACATACTCCGGCATACACTGGCTGTTGGTAACCACCCAGGAGAATGAAAGAAAAGTCAGGAAGAGTCCAAGAAAGACAAGTGCGACCATAATCGTCGGGAATTGAACCCGCAACCTCTCGATTGGAAATCGACTGCACATACCACTGCACCATATGGGACACACACACACACACACACACACCTCAGACCTCAGACATGCCCATCGCGGGAGCGATGATAGCGAACAGCTATGTTAGACATAGCAACTTGTGCTGGGATTACACCATTCAACAGCTTGCAAGGCTGATGAATTGACCGCCACTATTTTTAGCCTGGTATCCACCACACAGCTGTTTGAAGTGACTTTTTCTGGCCAGTGAATCCCTATTTTTCATTTTTTTTCATTTTTTCTTTTTTTTTCTACACACACACCACACCACATACTCCGGCATACACTGGCTGTTGGTAACCACCCAGGAGAATGAAAGAAAAGTCAGGAAGAGTCTGAGAAAGAGAAGAAAGACGTGTGTGACCATAATCGTCGGGAATCGAACCCGCAACCTATCGATTGGAAATCGCTGCACATACCACTGCACCATATGGGACACACACACACACACACACACACACACACACACACACACACACACACACACACACACACACACACACACACACAAGCGACTGATTGAGGAGGGGGCATAGCATATCGGAAACAATAGTAATGGGAAGTAGTGCATAAATCAGAGCGAGAGAGCGAGAGAGAGAGAGAAAGAGAGAGAGAGAGAGAGAGCAGCCTACCTCATTTTTGGTCATCAAGTATTGATCCCGAGGTAGACTCATAGCATAACCCAGTGCTTTGCCTCGAGGTACAATTGATACCTGGAAAAGACAGCATGAAGGAGGGAAACAATAAGGTGACATGTCACCACCATGTACCAGGACTCGAACCAGGGACCTTAAAATTATTATTCAATCTTTTCGCCTGTGGGATAGCGAGAGAGCTTGGAAGCTCAGGGCCCTACGCTATGCTTTTTGCCTAGCTCATCAATGACATTATGCATGTTATTAGAACTGATGGAAATGTTTTTTTTCTTCCATTGATTGGCTACATCAAACTTTCTCTTTGCATTCGAGGGTAATACGACACCGTCTACCACCTTGATGACCTTGGCAAAAAAAGCATAGGGATGTTATAATTTTTTCATTTCTCCTATTTTTTTCAAGACATAACCTGGGATTCGAACCCGCACTATCGCCCTGCATGCAATACTCCGATACACTTCGCACACATACTCATTCTTCCAAGTTGCTGCACGTTGTGATCTTGCATTTGAAAGCCCTATTTGAATATTGTGGCCAGCTGTCTTTGATGGTCCGGTACGAAACAGGTACGGGATAGCGCCAGGCATCTTTTCCGTTTGCCGTTCTTCGGCCACAGCTCTCGCCTTCAAATCTCTGGTGCGGGTGTAATCTAGTGACTTCGTACATGCATTATAATAGACCAATCCCTTCGTCTGGGTTCGTGAAAAGGGCCACGCGTGCAAGTCAGCTCGTGTGAAGTGCATGGTTTTGCATTTAGTTGGTATGTGGCAGCTTATGGGACAGAGAGACTTTTGCTCCCCGAGCTTGTGTATGTAAATAGTGTTTTACATCGACAATGACGGCTATACAATGCCCAACCATACCACAACGAACTGATCGGCTACATCATTGTACAGTCAGACCTCGCTTAACCGCACACATCCGTTTTCCAAAAAAATATCCGGATAGGCGAGGGAACCGGATAACCGAACACCGTTTATGTTGGATGCATCACGTATGCTGTAAATATGTAACCAGCTTTTTTCTTCCGGATGGCGAGGGATCCGGATAAACGAGGACCGGATAAGCGAGGTCTGACTGTATTGCAAAAAGTTTCCATCTGTTCGAATACCATGCATGATGAGCTAGGCAAAAAAAACATAGCGTAGGGCCCTGAGCGAATGAAATAAACTTTCTCTTTGCATTCGAGGGTAATATGACACCGTCTACCACCTTGATGACCTAGGCAAAAAAGCATAGGGATGTTACATTGTTATAAAAGCATAGGGATGTTAAATTTTCATCTCTCCTTTTTTTTCAAGACATAACCTAGGAATTGAACCCGCGTTATCGGCCTCCATGCATTCCCCCGATACACTTCGCATACATACTCATTCTTCCAAGTTGCTTCACGTTATGATCTTGCATTTGAAAGCCCTATTTGAATATGTTGGCCAGTTGTCTTTGATGGTACGGTACGGGATAGCACCAAGCATGCCGATGGCACAAACAAACAAACACGGAATTAAAGCTGTGTGGACCCTGGCTAGCGCCAGACGTTACTGAAGTAACGTCTTTTGCATAGCTACGGGAATAAAATTACTTCAGTACTAGTACATCAGTACACGTAGAATACAAACACATGCATGTGTACAGCCCACTCCAGCATCCGCCTGTCACTGTTGCCTGGCTGCTAAGTGCTAGCATGTCCGCCTCTACACAAAAGCCATAGATCCAGCACAACATGTGCCACACTGTATGTCCTAGCTCCAAGAAGAAGTGCTTTATTTTATCTTAGCTAATCGGCGAAGAGGCAACAATTTTAGTATCACAACAAGGAGGACTAGCTGACTAGCTGAAGTGATATTGAGTTACTTTATTTTAAAACAATGCCAAGCGATGGAAACGATGCGAAAACAAACAAAAGTTACTACTTCAGCATTCTCGCCTGCTTCATGTGCACGTAGAAAGGTGACCAGTAGCTTACCTTGAGCAAGGGGAAGCAGTGTTCCAGGAACCATCCTGTCACAGCATGGCCAGCCTCGTGATAAGCAACACGACGCTTCTCCTCCTTGGTCAACACCTGCGTCTTGCGCTCGAGACCTGAAGAGAACGCGACCATTCAAGGTGAACAGTGCAATACAGAAAGTGATTGAAGCACGCATGCATGGGAGGTCTGCTATGGGTAGGCTAGATAGCAAAGTAAGCGTGATCACTGCCAGGCATTGCAACATACCTCTCCCCAAGTACTGCGCTGTGTACTTCAAGTACGAGCATGTACTGCACTGTACAGCACTCGTTCATTGTGTTTATTTTGCTGGTAAAAGAGGCTTGCTCTGCACTGCACTGTACTGCACTGTACTGTACTGTACTGGTCTGTAGTAGTCAAGTATAGACATGCTGGTAGACTTCCATAATGGTTCGTGTGTTTGTTATAGGTGCTACAGCTACAGTATGAACTAAAATACCTGAAGTACTACGGTGCTTGGACTGCAAAGCAAGGGCATCTAGCCATGTACAGTGTATGCTGCCAGATGAATAGACGGGGAAACATCTTACCGCCAACGACTCGCTCTATCGCCTGGTGGAAGTGCTTCTCCATGACTTCCGTGCAATTGTGGCGCGCAGCGATGAGAGCTGCTTCGTTGCACACATTCGCCACATCCGCACCTAGATGAATGTTCACACACACACACACACACACACACACACACACACACACACACACACACACACACACACACACACACACACCTTTGACCTTTGACGCCCATCGCCAGAGGCGATGATAGCAATGCTACGGCAGAAGCCATAGCAACTTGTGCTGGGATTGCACCATTCAACAGCTTGCAAGGCTGAAGAATTGACCGTCACTATTCAGCCTGGTCTACACCATACAGCTATTTGAAGTGACTTTTTCTGGCCAGTGAATCCCTACACACACACACACGCACACACACACACACACAGAGCAAGTGCATATTAGAAAGAGCTCCGGTCCCCACCAACCGACGGTGAATTCATCGGAACAGATTTTAAACAAACGCATTGACTGCAAGGCCAACTGTATCCGGCTCCCCACATCCCTCGGTTATCCCATTCCCTTGGCTATGCGAATATGTCTGTGAAAACCCCCCGAGTGTGACAAGCGAGGTTTCACTACAATAGTGTCTGCCCTTCCTGAAACCTTTATACAGGACACTCTCACTGAAGCATTCTAGTGCTGCAGTAGCTCGCACATGCCATGGGATGCAGCGATAACGCAACAGACCTAATGTAATTAATTTACGTGCTGTGTTTGCACGTGCGTGTGCGCACGCGGAGGGGCATTCGCGTCTCCCCCCCCCCCCCCCCCCCACACACACACGCGGTCTACCACCCCCAGAGACCCCACCGTATCATCTGCACACACACACTGAGCGCTGAGCATGGCAGCATACGTACCGGTGAAGCCAGGTGTATGTGCAGCCATACTCCTAGCCAGTTGCTCCGTATTGAGATCCTTAGCCAGCTTGAGAGGGTTCAGGTGAACTTTAAATATAGCACACCTGCCAGGAAACACACAGAAGTCAACGAGAAGAACACAATGAATTTCAGGAGCAACGGTAGTTGGTGGTTTCTTCCAACATCAGCAGCTACGCAGTCGATAGGACTGGCATCATTCTGCCTTTCTCACTGACAGCGAGTGGCCAGTCGTCTTCCAAGCAGCGCAGTCGCCTGCATGCTATCTGCAGCGTACAAACATCAGTGTATGATTGACCCTACACACATACCTGCCCTTGACATCAGGCGGCGCAACGTAGATCTGCCGATCGAATCGACCAGGCCGCAGCAAAGCAGGGTCCAGAACGTCCAAACGGTTGGTGCCAGCTAGCACGACAACATTGGATGACGACGTGAAACCTGCAAGCAATAGCACAGTAAGGAAACAAGGTGATGATGATGGAGGCAATGAGCAATCAATAACACAATATAGCAAACCATAGCAAACCATAGCCGAACCATAGCAAATCATAGCAAACCATAGCCAAACCACAGCAAACCATAGCCAAACCATAGCCAAACCATAGCAAACCAGGGTGCAATATTTTTTTAACAACCCGTACTTCTGTGTAGGGCTGTGGTGGTTTTGCAACTGATACGTAGATCTCAAAATGGCAAGGAACAGAGTACTAATGTACATGTCCATGTAGTATGCAACATTGATTGACAATGAGGTACATAGGATTTAGTCACTACAGGACAAAACACGAGTGAATGCCTGTACATGTACCTGTATGTACATAGTTCAGTGAACAAGTGCAGTCAACATCTAAATAGCGTCCACACCTTGGGCTTTTGCAGTGAGCAACTGAAGGATGTGCCCCCGCCCCCCCCCCCCCCTCCCCCCCCCCACCCACACGAAGAGTACTAGCACACACAGTTTGGCACACACAGGCCTACCATCAATCTCCACGAGCAGCTGATTCAGCGTGTTCTCTCGCTCAGAGTTGCCCCTCATCGCGTTGCCACCGCGAGCCCGGCCGACAGCGTCGATTTCATCAATGAAGATGATGCACGGAGAGTGCTGGCGAGCTTCCGAGAACAGACTGCGTACCTACACGTCAACCACACACAGTCAATGGAAGATACAAAACGTTAAGGTGGACATGAAGGGAGACATCAGCAAGAGAAAGTGAAGGAAATTCACAGAGAGACGACGAAAGGTTTACAAGTTATCCATACTTCATGAATAAATTCATATAGTCCTAGAAACCACCTCTCAATAGTAGGTTCGAGAACCATCCGGTTGAGCTTAGTTTGCATTGCCCTGCCGAGCGGAAACACGGCAGGAACATGACCTACTAGTACCAGCGGCCGAACAAAAGAATCTGGTTCGGCTTTGCCCTTACCCTCGCTGGACCAACACCGACGAACATCTCCAGGAATTCTGATCCGGATATGGTGAAGAAAGGCACGGCTGCTTCACCAGCCGTGGCCTTGGCTAGGAGAGTCTTTCCTGTGCCTGGTGGCCCTGACAAAATGGCGCCCTGAACAAGGTTGGAAAAGAAGAAACAGTACTCGGGGACAAGACCAATAGCTTTGGACTGTGCAGCGAACTGAAATCTCAACGCTCGACGGGTCAGGGATAACTTTATGCATTGCAGTGAAGAAGGAAAGAATGATCAGAGGTGAGGTAAGTCAGGAGCCAGCATTGTAGTAGACTGTGATCTTGGGGATAAGGATATTGTGTGCGCGTGTGTGTGTGCATGCGCGCGCACACATGCACAGTTGCTTGGTGTAAGCAAGTGTACATAAACAATGGGCAGGTGGACAACAACGGCAAAGCCCTCTCACACCACAGTAATGGCAACTCACCCTGGGGATGCGTGCACCGAGCTTATGATAGTGATCGGGGTTCTTGAGGAAATTGACAAACTCCATAATCTCAAGCTTGGCTTCCTCACAGCCAGCTACATCCTTGAAGCGCACTTTGGAGAACTCCTTGTCGACCATGCGTGCACGTGATTGTCCAAGGCCGAAGAGATTCATAGGACCGCCTGCTCCACCCGCACCAGGCTAATAGGCAACAGCAGCAGCAGCAGAACGAGAGAGAGAGAGAGAGAGAGAGAGAGAGAGAGAGAGAGAGAGAGAGAGAGAGAGAGAGAGAGAGAGAGAGAGAGAGAGAGAGAGACAGCAAACATAAGAGTCATACGTGTGATAAGCGATGAAGTGGAGCGGATTCAAGATCCACCATTCCTAACTCAAAATCCCCTGTAAGATTAGGAGTCAGAATGTACAGATAGGTACACGTTTCCAATAAGTTTCTAGAACCATCACAAGCGGAGTACCTCACCTCACAAGAGTAATCAACACCGCAACATGGACCCTGTCCATATCGTGGGGAAAGAGGAAAATTGGCTTCGACTCAGAGCTCCATGCTCCGAGCGATAATCACGTACCTGATGATTGCTTAGAGAATGAAATTCTGAGTCACAGCTAAGTTTCCTTTCTCCTGATTGTATGTCCATACACGGACCATACAACCATCAGCATTGCTGAGGTATACTATGCCGAGAGCCACTCTACAAGCCTTTACTACACCCAGCACTTACGGCAGAACGGTGTACCGTATTTTCCGGAGTATAAGCCGAACTTTAAACACTTGTACATGTACTTGAAAAATAAGTAATTCGCCCCAAAAAGTCGGTGCGGCTAAAACTACGATGTCAAAGGAACTGTGAAACACAGGGTAAATGTCTGTATTTCGTGACCAAAGATCTGGGTGCGG